GCGTAAAAAATAGAACCAAGCAACTTTCGCATCTTCCAACCCAGTATGCTATCTTACTGAGTCCGTGTCTAAATATTTCAAAGAGTTAGTAAGTATTGCTACTCAAAAGCTATCGCGAATCAATGAGCCATTTCATACAAACTCGATGAGATTTTATTGAAGCCGTGCAAGTACTACAGCATCTCAGGCAATGTATGCTATTTTCATCAGAAATGGTATTTCTACTAACTTAAGTACAGTCGCTACAGCAGAATAGAGAGATATTCCTTCTAACCTATCTGCAATATTTGTAACTATAGAAAAAAAAATATCAAAATAGGGGTAATGTAGGATTTGTGACCAGTAGAAGTTCATTGAAGACACTGGTCAGTGAGTAATTTAGGAGAGTAATCATCCAATAGCGCTCTTATATCGCTCTGTTAATACTACTCAACCTTACATCCTATTTTCACTGTCATAATGCCATCAATTCTAATTGAATTATTGCTATAGCAGATAAACACGTAGACCGATTCGTCATCGATAGGCTGTCAAAGCATGGTACAGATTACTTGAGTCAAAGACTATAGATTTAGGAAGAGACAGCATGGCGTACCGTAAATTGCAAAAATAGCTCTCTTTAGCCAATCTACAGTAAGAATAAGATTATCTCTAGCTTTAAAGGGCATCGCTTTATCGGTTGATCATTAAGCAAATAAGGTACCGAGTTAATGTCATTTTTAACTCAGATTGAATTGATTATTTTTCTAATTAGGCGAATAAATAAACCGAACGTGATCAATAGGGCGTGTTTGTCGATATCAAAACAGTCGTTGTGTTTGAACTACGTAGATCACCAATAGAAAATTTTCAACCACACGAAGCTTCATGACAACACTGTGCGATGGATAATTTTAAAATACACCCTAGTTGAAGGTTTTGTATTTGCACTTGCAGTCTAGTCGTTAGTAGTCTACGAAGAGACGGTGTAGAAATGTTGAATAATAACTGCGTATTCAATTGAACACTTTTTTTTTTTGTCTATCCAACACGTATTATGTCCAATCTCAATTTCGTTTATACAATTGCATAATATCATAATAATTTTAAAATTAACAAAATATTTATTAGTGGAAATGTATTCAAATTTGTTTATTGTTTCATCTCATTATTCAAATTGAATAACAACGCCATTGGATTTATAGTATTTGCTATCCTTTACCTAGACCATATCATGTTGAATTTATGAACACGAGGCTTGTTATAGGAGTACAGTAGTCGATCATGCCTTTTATGATTACCAATCGGAGAATGGATGTGGCTATTTCTGCCTCTAATGGACGACTGCAACGATTAGCATCCACAAGACTCGTTCATTCAATACTGTAGTTGTAAGCTGGTTTTTCCATGCTATCTAGTTCTATTGCACTTATTGGCTTGGGCGGTCATGAGTCCGATCGCTACATTGCCTTACGTATTGCATATTTTGTTACTAATTCATAATTACATAATTGATTGATATAGCCGCAACGTTTGCAAGACAAACTAACTATTAAGCCAATGCTAGATCCTACAGTGAATCAGAGTTGATCCATACAGACTTTATTCTACAGTAGGGTAATAACCAAGCGAAAACCAAGTTATTTCATGGAGGACTCTTTACGTTTTATTCCATGAATAGATTAATTAAAAATAAACAGAACTATTGATATTTCTAACTGTGGGCGTAGAACTTCCACTGTGGAGAGCGGTTATTCGTTAATGTATTTTTTTTTTTATATTGGCGGACTAGTCCGCAAAAAAGAAATGGTATACCACAGTCATGATGAGATGGCTATCCACTTGTGTGTATTGGGTTGCATTTTAGCTGTTGTCATTATAGTCCTTGCTATCAGAAGTAGTTGATATTAAGAAAAATATTTCTGTGATGCAAATTGCAATCAATGTAATTTTATTGATTAAGCAGTCCGTGGATTGTTTTCATAGCAGGGGATCGCTACCCTGGGAGAGATTTAGGCGAGGTATCTATTGCACCTAGTTTTAACGCTATTGATTTAACATTGTTGATGGCATCAAGGTAAAAGAAAAAAATGTTGGAGTGCGCCCTTTACTAGTCATTTTTTTCCCCGTCTTTGATATCTGTAGTTTACACTGTCAAGAAAACTACATCACTGTGTTCATTTTGTATCATGATGACAGTAGTGGTAGACAGGATAGATGTTTCTTTTTCTTGTGAAGTTATTGTAAAGTGTAATCTATGAATGGCAGAATGTTGTCTACAGCCAGTAGACCGTTGTCGATTGGTGATGATGAATTGCATATCATGATCAGCACCTGACTGCCAATACAATCCCTTTATGAAAATCCTGCTCACTAAACGATACTCTACGCCTACAATGATGCAGTATTTTAATCCATGCTGAAATGGAGAAAATGACTTTGTAGTAGGAGAATTGCATCGGTTGATCGATTTGACTATCAACAAAGTAGTTGATGGCTAGTCCCGTAGCCCACCGTCCATGGATGCAAAATGATGCGATTGATGACAAATGATCGTCGATCCGTTTGTCATTGTCCTATCCATCAAGACAATTACTACAGAAAGTATGATTATCCAGCGCATTTGCTGGATTATGTATTGGCGTCCAGTTGAATGTGGAGTGAAAGTGTTGAAAATGGAGAGGAACCCTTGGCGTAATAACAAGTAAGCAATTGCTCGCTCTATCCCTCTCGATCCCTTTTTATTAGGGAGGGATTGGACAATGTAATCTCCAGCTCAATCGAGCGTCCAAGAGAAGATAGAGCAGAGATGACTCAATGTTCATCTCTCTCCGCCATTTCTACTGTAGGTCTATTGATGTTTATTTCCTTCTCCATGAGAGAAGAAAATAAACTTCGCCATACAGTCAGTGATGGAGGAAAGGAAGAAAGGCTGAAAGCAAGCAGCCACTGATCGCAAAGTCATGCGAGAGAGGAGCTGACCAAGCGTCCAAGAGAAGATAGAGCAGAGATGAGTCAACGTTCTTCTCTCTCCGCCATTTCTACTGTAGGTCTATTGATGTTTATTTCCTTCTCCATGAGAGAAGAAAATAAACTTCGCCATACAGTCAGTGATGATGGAGGAAAGGAAGAAAGGCTGAAAGCAAGCAGCCGCTGATCTTAAAGTCATGCGAGAGAGGCGCTGACTAAGGAGACGATCGGACATGCAATCCTCCAGCTCAATCGAGCGTCCAAGAGAAGATAGAGCAGAGATGAGTCAACATTCTTCTCTCTCCGCCAGTTCTACTGTAGGTCTATTGATGTTTATTTCCTTCTCCATGAGAGAAGAAAATAAACTTCGCCATACAGTCAGTGATGATGGAGGAAAGGAAGAAAGGCTGAAAGCAAGCAGCCGCTGATCTTAAAGTCATGCGAGAGAGGCGCTGACTAAGGAGACGATCGGACATGCAATCTCCAGCTCAATCGAGCGTCCAAGAGAAGATAGAGCAGAGATGAGTCAACATTCTTCTCTCTCAGCCATTTCTACTGTAGGTCTATTGATGTTTATTTCCTTCTCCATGAGAGAAAAAAATAAACTTCGCCATACAGTCAGTGATGATGGAGGAAAGGAAGAAAGGCTGAAAGCAAGCAGCCACTGATCGCAAAGTCATGCGAGAGAGGCGCTGACCTAGGAGACGATTGACACGCTTGTGTATGAGGCATGACAAGCGTCAGTGGATGCGCTGACGTAGTAGCAAGAGAACGATACCATGGAGTGTCTGTCCACTGCGTTGACGTTCGAGTCCGTTTATGCAAATGAGGTTGCAGAGTGTACCGTACCGTACCGTACCGTGCTACAATCGCACTGATAGTAGTATGTTCCTTTCAATAGTGTACAATAGTAGGATAACACTAAGAGTCGGGCAATGTTTCCCTTGTTGACTGGAGTGCAATCAAGCCAAATTCAGGTAATTCCATCCATTTTCATACATTAGCCAGTCTCACGTACACCTACTTGATACACAAGATAGCTAAAATCCACTTTAACGTCTAGTAGCAAATCGCATTCAAACTGCCATCAAGGTGAGCAAGAAGAAAAGCCGCAGTATGCCAATCTCCAGCATAGAAAGGCAAATAAGCAGTTGGAAGTTTTAGTCCATTGCGATTTAGACGATTGGAAAGAGTAATAGACTAGGACTAGTCGATCTAGTATTGCTATAGGCAAGTTGGTTGAGTATATAGGGTGTTGAAGAAGTTTTATCCTTGCTATCGCTAGGCGGTATCCAAGACAAGCAAGCGCTCGATTTGATCATCGTGTTTGTTTGTAGCCATTTTGTGCAAGCTTCATTAACCGCTTGATCAACCTTATTATTGCTCGGCTTGATTAATTAACTTGATCTTTTTTTGCATACAAGCTTGGTGATCTAGTGGAGAAGAGATTGCTTTGGCTGATCTTACCATCGACGAGTATCGTAATTTTCCTATACAACAACAAAAGGTAAGCGAGAGAGAGATTGGTTGAGTTTATCATTTTTTTTTGGGGGGGGGGCAATAACAATTGATTGACTCCTATCCATTTTAATGAGTATGCTGCAGTATAATTAACTGATTGCCTAATGAGGACATGTTGTCTACGCTTGAATAAGAGAGAAAGAGAGCTAATCCTGTTTTTATTAAGCAATAGAGTGTGTGGACTAGCTTCGGCAAAACCGTCGTCAATGCCTTCAGTAACCGATCCATGTCAGAAAAGTTGTAGCGCTGCTACTACCACCAGCACTCCTAGGAGTAGCAATGGCGATGATGCTGCTGCTGCAAGAGTGGAAAATACAACGAGTGTTGTTGCTACTACTAGTACAACGACAACAACAAGCGTTGAAAGTAATGCAACCACCAACAAGAAGAAGAAGGAGGAGGAGGAGGAGGAAAACAACCCTAGTGTAGCTACTAGTGTAAATCAAGACGATGATGACAAGCAAGACAACAACGATGGAGAGGAAAAGCAAGAGTTAGCTAGCAAGCAAGATGGACAAATTCAACTTCCTGATAGTGTCGTTGGCACCAAGAAAGAAAATGCTTTACGAGAACTAGTTCAACGCACTGCTTTTCCACTCAGCCAATCCAATGGCCAACGTCGATTTGGTCCACCACCCGATTGGAACGAGTTGCCACCACCTCGTGGCTGTGAAGTATTTATTGGCAAAATCCCTCGTGATTTATTCGAAGATGAATTAGTGCCAGTCTTTGAAAAAATCGGCCCAATCTATGAAGTTCGCCTCATGATGGATTTCTCCGGCAATAATCGTGGCTATGCTTTTGTCGTCTACCAAAGTAAAAGTGCAGCTCGCCAGTGTATCAAGCAATTGAATAATTATGAAATACGCCAAGGTAGAATGATTGGTGTCTGCTCGTCGGTGGATAATTGTCGTTTATTTATTGGTGGTATACCCAAGACGATTAAGCGAGAAGAAATTCGCAGTGAAATGGCCAAAATTACCGAACATGTCGTCGATGTCATTGTTTACCCATCGGCTAGTGACAAGACCAAAAATCGCGGCTTTGCTTTTGTAGAGTATACTAATCATCGAGCGGCTGCAATGGCTAGAAGGAAATTGATGAATAACAACAACGTGGAATTATGGGGGCATAAAATTGCTGTCGATTGGGCAGAGCCAGAAATTGAAGTAGATGAAGAAATTATGGATCAGGTAAGGCTATTCTTCTTTTCCTTGCCTTTATTTTTTTCCCCCCTTTTTGATTCATCATCCACTTGCAACATTTTGTACATGGAATGTACAAAATTTTCCTTCCTTGATCGACGACAGAACCAAGGCAGTTAACAACCTTCATTTCTTTCGCTTTCCAACCTAATCCATAATGACCACCCGCTTCTTCAATGATGATTCTAACCCCTAAAGAAGAATCATTACAATAAACGAATTACAACAAGTCCTCTCCACCAATATGGCGACTATAGCGTGCCGCAATAGCAGTATACTGTATAAAATGAGCACCAATCGTGTCGGCTATTTTCTATTAAGCAAAATGCTTTTGCTCCATTCTCCACTAAATTCTTCAAGCTAACATCACATACACACAGACGTAGCAAGAACAACATGCAATTCCCATTTGTCCTTTCAACATGCAATTCTCATTTGTCCTTTCAACATGCAATTCCCATTTGTCCTTTCAACATGCAATTCCCATGTGTTCTTTTAACATGCAATTCCCCATCGCTTCTTTGATCATGTAATTGGCATTTTCTGTGGGTAAAATGGATGTGGTTTTTTTAAAAACTACATCCATTCTACCATCAACTCGATACGCCAGACATTATGGCTGCAGCATGCCTTCAGAATAGCTTTTCAAGGAAGAACAAGACAAGCCATCATTTGCCCATCCTGCTGCTATTTTCTGTTAGCAAAATCCAATAGGGTTTTTTGCTCTATTAGAGACTCGTTGTAGGATAAATCAATTGCATTCTTTGCTTGACGACATTGTGAATTCATTCAAGCATAACTGACAGACGTAGTTTTACTCTCTCTTTCCCTCTTCTTCAACCACCAATGGAAATGGTTGTTTTTACCACATTCTCCATTGATAAATTAAAGTACAATTTCGATAAGTGCTTGGACTACCTTCTCTACTCTTTCAAGCACAACTTGCGAGTTTTACAATATTCTCCATTCATCAAAGCACAACGTTGATACGTGATTTGACGACCTTGTCCACTCATCCACTACAAATTACATACGTTGTTTTAGCAATCTTCTCCACTGGACGAAACCTTCAATCTTGTTGTAGTCGTCGTTGATGAAAGCACAACGTTGATACGTAGTTTGTCGACCTTTTTTCCATGAGGGAAACGCTAAACTAGATACCCTAGGCTGCAATAACAGCATGGAAATAGGGCGAGAAATGATAGTTTTCTCTTGGTAAAAGGCAATGTTTGCTAGATTGTTAACTGATGAATCAATGGACAACACTTTTGAACATAGCAATGGAATGGAGGAGGTAAAATAAATCGTCCATTGCGCCTTGAATCACTCCACTACAGTATGCTGAAAAAGATTTTCAACATCAACTCTTTTTACTATACAAGTTGTATGACAACCTTTGCATTTCTACTTGCATAACGCAATCATTCAAACTTGGCTCTCATTTTCGCTACTTCTTTGAATGTTCTTCTTGACGTACTTGTTGGAAATACGGGAGAGAGATGCTGTCGGGTATTCTCCATTCATCAATCGATATCAGAAAGGAGATCAATTCATTAGCGGTTTACCTTGTAGGAAGAACAAAATGATCTCTTCATGGATGACTACTCTACCATTCTGTAGTACTTATCCAATTGGAGAACACAAAGTAAATTACTTTAGTCAACACTACTTCATTCAAATGCTTTATTGGCTTAATTTCGTAAGCACTTTCATCTTTTATTGCTTGCTGTTCCATCATGGACAGCATTTGCAATACAGGGGGGAAATGGCGATTTTACTACACTGGGTTTTCACTTTGGAAAGACAACAAATTGAAATTGTTGTCTTGAATCAGTAAGATACAGCAATCATCAATGATGCGATCCATCCATGACGGTACTCTGCAAGCAAGGAGATTTATCTTGTAGACTTTAACCCCAGCAAAATGACTACGGTCTTGACTGTGCTAGCATTGCGACTCCATTACGCCAATAGGTTCAGTTAGTGGCCAACTATTTCAATTTCAATTGGTGTTGTTTCCATCACGACAAGAGTTTCATCGAGGGCCCTATATGCTGCTGTCGGTGAAAATACTTTGCAAGGTATACAGTACTGCATATCATCTTTTTGTGGCAAAAGCGAAGACTAGCCTTTTCTTTTTGCGCCTGCAACCAATGATCCAAGACGAGTTGCCCTCTATATTTTAAGAACACTCTTTTCTAGCATGATGAAAAGATTATTACTGACTCGGCAGTTGGCTAAGCAGATGATGGATTGCTTTCTTTCCTTCATTGGATGACCAAGTAGCGATGGATAACATCGATACGTTGGTCGTCCTTTTGATTTTTTTTCTCCGCCATTTTTTTCATATGGGGGGGGGGGGGAAAAAGGAAGAGAACGCGTTTATAAGCGACTGGCAACCTTTTTTTTTTTTTCTCCTCGATTCCATGCAATAGGATCAAGTACGCGTACTGTCTATCTCTTTTTTTTGTTTTTGGACCCTCTTGTTGACAAGAACGAGGAGAGAAGAAATGCCGTCCTAAAAGACATGCTAGGGAAAATGAGCTTGTTGTATGGGCAATGGCCCCGTTATCGCCATGATTGAATTAAGGATATCGAGGCAAACTTTCTCCGAAGAAGGAGAAGAAATGCCGTCCTAAGCGACGTGCTAAGGAAAGGAGCTTGTTGTATGGGCAATGGCCCCCTGGATATCCTTGATTCAATCAAGGCAAACTTTCTACTCGAACCGAAGAAGGAGAAGAAATGCCGTCCTAAGCGACATGCGAGGGAAAGGACCTTGTTGTACGGGCAATAAATCAAGGATATCGCGACAAACTTTGTACTCCAATCGACAGCCACCACATTGGTAGGGAAATTGCAAGAGTATTTTGCCTTTTAGGCGAGATGATTGACTACATTGTCAAGATGAAATTTAGCATTGGCTTTTCATTGTTGAATCTTTTTTGTCCTCTTTGTTGTACACTTGGCCATTTTAATTTCTTCAACAAGAAGACTTTTGTATGCTAGCGTAATGGATGGATTGATTGACTGATGACAATCATTCAAAACTCATCTAGTTCACACTTCAAAGAGAAAGGAGCTCAACATGTTAAAGAAGTGCTAATAGGATAAGAAAATAACCTATTAAGTAGTCATTGATTCTTGTCATAAAATGTCATTTCTTTTCATTTTATTCATTGGTGGTTCACCTTGATGCAGTAAGAGGGGTTAAAATAAGCCTAGTTGAAATGTGGATTTTTTTAGTCCAGGTTGAACGAATAACCTATGAGTAGTCATTGATTCTTGTCCTACCATTTCTTTTCAATCATTTTATTCACTCATGGTTCACCTTGATGCAGTAAGAGGGGGTAAAATAAGCCTAGTTCAAATGTGGATTTTTTTAGTCCAGGTTGAACGAATAACCTATGAGTAGTCATTGATTCTTGTCCTACCATTTCTTTTCAATCATTTTATTCACTGGTGGTTCACCTTGATGCAGTAAGAGGGGGTAAAATAAGCCTAGTTGAAATGCCACCAATGTGGTGGATTTTTTAGTTAAGGGTTACGACGAGCTCAACATGTTCAAGAAGTGCTTATAGGGTACAAAAATAACCTATCAAGTAGCAATTGATTCTTGTAATAAACTACCATTTCTTTTATTCACTCACGGTTAACGTTGGGGTAAGAGGGGATAAAACAAGCCTAGCTCAAATCCACCAATGTACATTTTTTAGTCAAGGATGAACGAATAACCTATGAGTAGCCATTGATTCTTGTAATAAAAGACCATTTCTTTTCAATCATTTGAAAGTGATTGGTTCACGTTGACGGAGTAAGAGGAGGTAAAATAAGCCTAATTGAAATCCACCAATGTGCATGTTGTAGTCAAGGATGAATGAATAACCTATCAAGTAGTAATTGATTGTGGTAATAAACTACCATTTCTTTTATTCACTCATGGTTAACGTTGGGGTAAGAGGGGATAAAACAAGCCTAGCTCAAATCCACCAATGTACATTTTTTAGTCAAGGACGAACGAATAACCTATCAAGTAGTCGTTGATTCTGTTCTAAAAGGCCATTTCTCTTCAATCATTTGAAAGTGATTGAAAAGACATTTTTATTCACTCATGGTTAACGTTGGATGGAGCAAGAGCCCCGGGGGTAAAACAAGCTTAGGTGAATTCCATCAATGTGAATTTTTGAACCAAGGATTACCAGAAGAAAATCGCCGCTCGTTTTTTCTTCTAGTCTTGTTAGCTTTAGCGTTAACTATTTCCCCAACGCCATCATAGAATAGCGTTGGAGAGGGATGAAGGAAAGGCATCTCTAGCAACAAAATGAACCACCAAATCAAGTAGAATACAAGTCGCCAATCACTTAGCCATGCAATAGGTTTACCCTCACTTTACCAATGGACTAGGTGGAGTTCTAGATCAAAACTGCTGTCGTTGCTTGAAATTATTATCTTTTTTTCCCCCCCTACCTTGTCCATGTCTAGCATCAACTCTACTCTGCAGTTTTCTCAACTAATGCCCCTCGATGGCTATCCCATGGGTCCAACAGGGACTACAAAGAGGCTTTCCCTTCCTTTTACTAATCCCTAACTTAAACCGCAATCTTATTTCATTTTATTGATTGTACTGTATTTATAATTCCTTTTTATGTATCCATTTTTGCTCGGTCAAGAAACGGATCATGGCGGGGGGATATTAACCCATTGATTAAGCGGGATGTTTGGTTAATCATTTTGTCCTCCATTTCAATGAATGGGCAATGGACTCCATTTAAAATCGGTAAAGCAACTCTAGGCTGCGTTCTTTCGTGTAAAATCAGGTAGCGATGGTTTTGTCGCTAGTGTTGTTTCGTCAAGGTTAAAAAAAGCTATTTTGTGCCAGTCAATGGATAGAATGCAATTAGCAACGGTCTTGTCGCTAGCGCCCTTTCGTCAAGACAAAAAGGCATTTTATGCCAGTCAAAGCTAGCAAGGTATCCTCCATCATTGCACAAATAGCGACTAGTCAAAGGATATTGAGAAAGAGGCATTTTCTACCAGTCAAAGCAGATCTACGGAAGCCTGCTCGATTCTCCTTCAATGGGGACAAAAATAAATTGGCATGTTGTGCCACTCAAAGCGTGATTACCGAAACCTACTACATTGAGCTTAACGTAGAATGCAAATATCATCATTTTACAACAGGGACGAAAACAAATTGGCATTTTGTGCCAGTCACAACGTAACTAAAGAATGGCTTAGCATTTGTTGACAACAGGGACTAGTAGAACAAGGACGGCACAAAATGGCATTTTGTGCCAGTCACAGCATAACTGTGGAATGGATTAGTATTTGGGAACAACAGGGACTAGCACAACAAGGACCAAACAAAATGGATTAGCATTTGGGAACAACAGGGACTAGTTATAACAAGGACCGCTCAAAATGGCATTATGTGCCAGTCACAGCATAACTGTGGAATGGATTAGCATTTGGGAACAACAGGGACCAAACAAAGTGGATTAGCATTTGCGGACAACAGGGACTAGCATAAAAAGGACCAAACAAAATGGATTAGCATTTGCGAAATTGTACTCGATTAGATCGCTATGAAGAAATGGATACATCACCAAAAACTACTGTACACTACGGACTGTTCGTAGATGCTTAGCCGTCCAATTTTTGCCTACATACAGTACAGCACACCATTCCAAACTTGAAATTACAAATATTCGCCCTTTTCCATGCTATCCATCGATACTAAACAGGGTATCATCAAGATCGAGAGTGCCCAATTCTCAAGACTGGAAGCGCCGGGCAATACACGTTTAGGAAGGACTACCGGGAAAATAGGTCTGTTGAGAAAGCCAATGTAATGCGGCGTCGACGAAACAGTGTGTTTTCAGTTAAATTTTATCTCCAAGTTTTGTACTCTTGTAGCTCTACTGGTAAGAACTCTTGTTGATCGCAAGGAAATGAGAGAAAAGCATTGGCCATTGAGTTATCTCGGGGTAGAAATCAACTCAATTCTTCTCTTATAACAGGAAGAAGAAGAAGAAAACATAAACGCAAGTAATCTCTCGTTCAACCAACATAGTAATGGAGTAAAGTCGCAAAGAGTTTTCCGTAACCTAACTCTTGTTGATCGCAAGGAAATGAGAGAAAAAGCATTGGCCATTGAGTTATCCCAGGGTAGAAATCAACTCAATTCTTCTCTTATAACAGGAAGAAGAAGAAGAAAACATGAACGCGAGTAATCTCTCGTTCAATCAACATAGTAATGGAGTAAGGTCGCAAAAGAGTTTGCCATAACCTACTCTACTCGTATCGAAGATCGAACTCATCCGTCATCGTCGGCAAAAACTGCTTTTAAAAAACTCAATGGCGTCCAGGTAGAACTTGTCCAGAAACAGAACTACCTCATGCATACGATGTAACCCATCAGTAAGCATGATAAAAGCTACTCAGACCATTGCCACATCGATATCAAGGTAGATGTTATACCGTATATAAAAAAAAACATGACTACCTTACCATAGGATGTAACCCATCAATAAGCGTAGTAAAAGCTGCTCAAAGCATTACTACATCGATACCAAGGTAAATCTTGTAGGAAAAAAACATGGCTACCTCAACGATAGAATGGAACCCATCAGCAACCGTAGTAAAGTTGCTTAATTAAAGCATGACCACTCTGACAATATACAAGGTAGAGTTTGTAGGAAAAAAAAGCTGACTGGATTCTGTAAGATAGCACCAGTGATAACCAGTTTACTCCAGTTACGATCATCATGGACTTTATAGATACCTATAAAGTCCATGCTATCATACAGTGTGATCAGTTATGAAAGTATTCCATCTTCCATGATTGAAGAAGATCAGAATAGTTGGAGGATAGAGTAGTGGTATGCAAGGAGACAAGTCATGACAGTAACGCTAACAAATTCTACTAAACAGTTATAGGATAGGCATGCTTACCTATGACAATTATTGGCTGCGACCCAGTTAGCCTTTCATGCTTGAGCAAAACAGGATGCCAAAGCCATAATATTCTGCTATTAGACCAAATCCCAATTTCAAGCTTTGACTTATCGACATGAGGAAAGTGGCTATCATTATAGCATATCTGTGCGGTGCTGTAAAAATCCAATAGAACGTGATAAGTACTCTCATTTATTTGAGATGTTTTCATCAAGAACAGATCGGATCGAGGAGTTCAACTACTTTATTTAGATAGTTATGATAAATGGTGATGGATAAATATGGAAAGAAGACGATAACATAAACGAGATAGGTTAATAGTGAAAAAAACGCTCTTAAAATGACTTTTTCTATCTTGAGAAAGCACTATTTAATATTGGCTATGACATGGGCAACGTATAATGACTTGGATATCCTCTATACCAATAGGTCAAGACTAGGAAAAGACAGCAAGATAACCCTTTGCTATCACTAAATAGAGTAAGTTTTCGTTGTCTTGAATGATTGGAAGACATGAAATATGAGTAAAAAAACAACCCAAACATGGACTCTTGTCATATTTAGAGCATGGATTAGTGTAATACAGAAGAGTTCTAAAAATGGAATGGAATGGCTTGTGGTGAAATGGAATCATACACATCGACTCGTATATAGTCTATATAGCAATCATAGAAACTGTAGGGAAATGGTGCCGTCTAAATGATCAGAAGCTAGCACTGTAAACTAAAAGTGCTATTCCTCGTGCTGTACACTTTCCATCAGTTAGAATTTCAAATGATCACCAGGCAGTATTCTATCGAACTTAGAATAGACTATCATACGCTTCCAATGATCCTATCTTCAAGGATTTCAATTCGTAATCAATATCAAGACATCAATGATAGCTTTTCTACGACTAGAACTACTACGAAAAGTGTTACCACTGTAGGCTAAGCGTATATCACAAGTATCGAATGCTGTAGCGCACTGAACGAATATCTTCACTACTTACCTTAGCAACCTAATTGCCTTTCAGGACTAGAGCTACTAATTATATATATCATGAAAGTGTTGTACAAACTTGAAGTAATACACGAAAATAAGCATTGCCATACGAGTATATCCAATTTAATAGCACACTGAACGAATATTATAAAAAAGATGCAAACAATTGACACTACTCTTCAACAGAATCATTTTTATACAGGATCATAGCTCATGATCTACCGACGAATGATCAAAGGCCTACAACTGGGTACCTAGACATTATCATTTGTAAATATAAATTTATGAAACAGCAGTACACAACTGGATAGACGGATATTCAAACCAATTTTAAGCCTTACCAGATGTATCAGCTTTGGCTGCTACGGCGTAACCAACTGGTTCATTGCCAACAGCCTCACCGCTAAGACTGAAAATAAACCTGTGCTTCCAGCTAACCAAACTGCAACGTATAAAATAATATGAAATTATATTGGTGCATACCTCCCTAGATACTGACATGAATCAATTGATGTCGCATTTAGTAAATATAGATCACAGTTAGTAGTGGATTCCTTTTTACTTGAAATGATTATGGTGAAGTAGACTGAATACAATGTTACTATTCTTTCAACCTATTTTTTACTACTTTCTTTCATTCCTTCTCTTTAGGTTAAAATCGTATACGTTCGAAATTTATTGTTAAGTACGACTGAAGAATCGTTAAGAGAAATCTTTCAAAGCATTGCCCGTGTTGAAAGAGTCAAAAAAATTCGAGACTATGCCTTCATCCATTTTACAAGTAAAGAAGATGCTCACATGGCTATCACCCTAAAAAACGGTAATTGTTGAGATAATGTACCACTTTTGTAATATTTCCTTCCATTTGGTCAAGTCAAACTGCAGAAGTATTCGAAAGATATCAGTTACAAATGTTAGCAGTAAACTACTTTTTTTTAATCTGTTTAAATAGACTGTATATACGAGTATGTAATCTTTTACTATCGGATAAAAATGCTTATTACAACAACCAAGCGCATATCATTGAAAGTTTCTGTAATTAAGTTTGATAAATTTCACAAAGGATTGCCCATGGACTGTTGTTCTTATACATAGGTAATATAAATCCGTATAGCATATTAATAATGAAATGGATCATAACTACTAAAAACAATTTAGGCCAAATCATTGACGGTAGTACTGTCGAAGTGACATTAGCCAAGCCGGTCGATCGTGAACATCATCGTCAACTAAAGAATACCAAAATGAACCATCAAGACAACACCTGTTCTATGCATCCCCAAGGATATCAAAACTATCATCCTAACCCCTTTCCTGGAAATGCTTATACTCCACGAATGCCTCCATATGGACAATTAAATGCTGCTGGTGTTCGGTTAGTTTTGTACCAAATTAGTCTAATATTAATGAATACTTGAGTTGCTGCATGTACAACACAGATTTCACAGTCAATAACGTGGAGAAAAGATACGTTGAACTACAACTCTATTATGACAAAGTTGCATTTTTAAAAATAGAATTACTAATCGTAATCAACCGAGTTCACCAAGAGGACGTGGCCGTGGACGCACCGCCGCTGGTCGTTTAAGTGCAGGCGCTCTAAATTCAAATTATCAACGCAATAACCCATCACGTTATTCTACCAACTCCAAAAATAATATTATCACCAACAAGAAATACTCTCAGGACGGTGTAAGTAATATTGTACTGTCGCGATGACACGATGTAAATAAATAGTACTACCAGCTACACCAAAGCCTCGTGAAGAGAGCAGTAGTACCGCTTTCTTTCACATCCGTGTATTAATGATTGTATAATAAACTTGCGTTCGTTATATCCACTCTTATATTTACTAATTCTAATGGAATGAAATACCAACTCTAGCACTATGAACAAATGCCAACTGTAGCAACAAACAACATGACCAATATGAAGCACCAAATAAAAAATCCTGTCCAGGTCCGTTAAATAAGTGTAGCATAGGAAAAATATTGCTTGCTTTCACTTCATAGCTATATTAAATAAGTTAATTATTGCACCTCTTATTAAAGTAGACAAAATTTGAATCTATTCCATTTGATTGAACAGATACTAGAAGAGTTCTGTGCTAAAAACCAATTTCCAGCCCCAACTTATCATCTGGTTCCAATTTACGGTCCAAACGATGTGCAACTATTTAGCCATAAGGTAAATTTTTTCCACACCCATAAAATATCAAATTTTAACGACCTACGTTGATTTCCATCAACTTGATACTAAATAGATCTTCGTTAATGGAGTCCTTATTGCGCAAAGCGAAAAATTTTGCCGGACACTTGAGGAATCCAAAGTGCTTACCGCTGACTTGGCTGTTCAACAAATTGGCCTTTATAATGATAATCGTATGTTGAAAAAGCAAACGAAAACTCTTTTCGCTTTATTTCTATCTACAGTAGAGCGGCATTTGTCTTCTCATACATCCAATGTCTAATAATTTACTGGGATATCAATTAGGGATATACGTAAATGCCTACGATTGTTTTATATTTGATCTTACTTCATAACTTTGATCTACATCGATGTCACCGATTCAAAAATGACGGGAGCTTAATCTAGGGTGGCAACTACTCATTGAGGCTATTTATACCTACCTGGATGTAAAAATTCGCATTTTTTAATCGTATTAGCAATCCTTTTGGGAAATTTATAATTACTAGTACAATTATTTAATCTACTGTACCCTACAGCGTGCACCATCAAAAATTGTACATTCTTCAATGCGGGATATATTATAACATTAAATGTAATCAGATAGTACTCAAGTAGCCTACTTGAATTGTATTTACCTTTCTTTAACGAACAAATTATACTGTAAGTACATGAGATAGTGAATTAGATAAATCACGCCGCTTCAAGTCGGTTAATTTTCATAGTACGTATTTTTAAATCTATGTTTGACCATTTCGCTAGATGGAAAGAAGATAGTTGTTCCCTGTATAAAATGTTAATTCGGTTGATCATTTTTGGGGGTTATTTAGTCTGTACCTGATATGTTTAGAAAACAACGCTAGCGTACCGTATCTTGGGGCATTCTAAGGGTCAGATTTAGCTGCACTAGAAAAAGCAAGTATGGTACTTTAAGTTTTGATGAACCTTTGATAGAAGATACACTAGTGCAACCTAGTTCTGTTGTAAGCTACCACTTAGTATTAAGACTAGAACAGTTTATTACAAGTCTAAAAGAATTTTTTTTGTGCTGACTAACTCTCTATTCGAGATAGAAATGAGATATTAAGGGTTAAAAAAAATTACCAAAATTTAGGCGTGTCAATTATCCAACGCTACGTTGCATAAATTTTACAATCATGGACGAAATGTGAGATTAAACGTACTTACGACGGTAACCTGAAACTGTGATATCACTGTTACATTATCTGCAGGAATATAGGATACGGTAATTAATTTGCAATGCGTAAATATTAGTGATGTAAGTAAAATTGTGTACATTAAGCCTTTTTAATAGGATATGATTGCTTTTCCTACAAACTTGTATCCCTGTAATGACAAGAAAGTAAATTTTTTGCTTACTCACCGATAACTTCACACATCTTTTAGCAGAATGTGTGAAGATGAAACATGGCGGCCATTTGCATTGTCTCTTTGTTCACCTTCTTAGTTAGAACGTTACTAGGGTAAATCACTTAAATTTGTTTTCAAGTTGACGACCTGAAGTGGATGCAAAGTTAACCCATTCCTATAAACTGGCTGTTGATCATTCTGCGCCAAGAGACTTGCGACAATCTTCCAATTTGTTCTAGGGATCGTTAATTTTCTCATCTATTTGTACGTATATATCATGCGTAATAATCGACAGTTTTTTTCTGCCCGCTCCGAACGTTCACTAGACCAATATGATTATATTACTCTGCTATGACGATTGTTTAAAGAGTCTAGATCGAGGGAGTTCCCTTTCTTATGCTAATGAACTGACATCGAAAACCATTATCATGCATTGTTTAATTGAGAGATTCGCAGTTTATAACCGTTATCATTGCGTCATGTCAAGCTAATTAGCTCTACGCTCCAGTATAGTAATTGTATGTTACAGTCAGTCACTTTGTACAATTATCATGAAAGCTTAGTCTTTAGCAAATGTCTCGGTATCCAGTTTAGTCAACTATTGACAATAAATTCAATCTGCTACTACGTAAACTAGCCAAGTAGCAAATAAATGCTTATTGCAACGGCACATCTTATACAAACCGAACCCTATAGATCTTATATAAATTTATATATTCATGTTTATGTGTTGAATTAATTCTCCAGTCCACATTTATTTCGATCTCGAACAATTGAATTCCACTAATGCTATTCTTACTTGTTGATCATGATTGAGTATTGTTTAGCTGTAATGACTAAATTTAGGTAAATACTACCGTTTTTCAGCTTATGCTATGTCTGGCAATAGACCTGCAGCACCAGAAGCAGCAAATTCATACACCAATTACGTGCCTATATCATCAACTCAAGGTACTGGCGTACCTCAAAAAGTTACTGCGCCTGCATGGACAGGTGTTGACGGCGGACCAATATACAACGGCTACGAAAGTTACCCATCGGTCCAGGTGTTTCCTCGAGAGATGTATCATTACTAGATAAAATGGAATTTCACCTTCAAAATTGCTTGTGGAATAGGCTCTCTTACTCGGCTTCAGGCGTATATCTTAATGAATTAATGCCATCACTGTGTAGTTGTGACTAATAGCATTTAGTGCAGTTTGTTTATAGTTTTAATAGGTTAGTAATAACGTAGTATCATTTTAAGTAGTAAAACATATATCTAAGAGTTTTTAGAGATACGGTGTCGTGGATTACAAATGTTCGACAGATAAAATATCAATGCCTTATCACAGGAAATTGGCTTCAATCAACTGAAAAAAATTATTTTTAATCGCAACCCATCACTAGACAGTTTAACTTGATACAGAGTTGAAAAAAGATATTTTTCCGGTTAAGGTTGCTAGGCAAATTCAAATACTCTGATCACTTCAGCAAGGATCCTTTACGAACAGGATACAAAGAATATTAAAGTATTGGGAGTCACGACTTATTGTCGTTAGAAGAAAAAGATGCATTCGACTAGCTAGCAGTTGCTAGAGTATTCTTTTACTTAGCCTTGCTTTCAACCTGGTTGTTAGACTGATTTCTTATTTTATTAAATTTGTAAAACCAACGATCAATAACACCTAGTAACAACCAGGAAATGGAGACAATTTTTATATCAATCATCATTTTTATATTTCGTAATCTCCAAATTTTGTATTTGCTCAATCTTTTATTGATTTCTCCTGATCTCAACTGATTGTAATGTCACTTCACATTCTAAAACTCTTACGATCTTGCTCACTAGTCAATTAAATGTAGTACTAAAAGTTATAAATTTTATGTTACGAAAGTATGGAAAAAGCCGTCATTATTAGTATCGCTCGTCTTAGTCTGAAGCTTGTATCAAGTATATAAAGGTGATGCAATTAAAGATACCCCTAACATACTTAGGAATCGACAATAATAGTTAATCCCTTATATCTAAATACGCATTTCAATGGCCTTGCAAATTGTTTAACATTATTAATTATGTCCCGAAAAAGTTTGATTTATTCTAACCATGTTAATATTAATTCTTTTCGACACTAACGCATATTATTACAAATTTTGTGCTATCGTATTTCGCTTGGACTGCTTTGTTGTTTATGGCTTTTAAAACTAATTCACACAGCATTCAGAACTAACAGGGTATAGCACGATTTTGTCATGGTTAACACAATGGCAGAACTGTTATGCGCTGTATGAAAGGAAACACGTCTACTATCAAGGATAACGATTGGTAGATAATTGTTTACTAATTGCAACGTTCATCATCATAATATGCAGCGCCGATATTGCGGCTTAATCTGCATCCAAAAAGTGATTTATGTTCAAAAAATCTTTAATATTAATTGACTTATGTACGAGTATACCCGCGCGTCTATGTGCGTACTCGCATTTTAATATTCAATTTATTGTTATTTAAAATATGATTGAGTTTGCTTTTGCTCGCTTTTAAAATTGTATCGCGAAAAATGATGAAACTGCTATTAAAAAGTTACATTGGCTTTGCTTATTTAATTCAAAATATTCATGGCCTAACAATATTTGTGGACATCACCAGGAAAAATGATACTTCCAATCGTACTAGAGTTAGCAATACTAACTGTCAATATGCTTTATACGTTAGTCTATACTATTTTATGCCTTAACGAGCAATGCACACGCACGTTGCTACTATAGTTAAATATTGTAGGGAATAAGTTGAGGGCTTGAATATAGTATATATCATGTCTACTTCATAAACTTACGTGTAATAAATCGTTATATAAGCGACTAGCTAATATTTATGCACGTGTACGCTATAGTATGTCTGCTATTGACTCTATTGCTGTAATACCGAAAATTAATGGTAACATCTACCATGCGTTTCAAGTGTTCAGATACTACTTGTTATTGTAAATTAACTTCAACAAACTAGCTAGTCAGTAAAATAGTATATCCTAACCATCTATGATTGAAATTTATATCATCAGGTAGATTTTGCCTATGCCGCTGCTAATAATACGGTAATATGCAACATTCAAGCGCCCTCTATATCATACCCGGGTAGTTCATTTACTCTGGATAAAAATGATACGTCTAATATATTGCTTAATATAGAGACGTAAGACATCGAAATAAACACAAATTCTACTTGTTTAGTAAGCTCGCATAGATCTACATTGAATAATTATTCAATGCATCAATACGACAGTATAGTTATTCTAACCACTATTTGGGAACCTGAAGTCTTTTCTAAAGCTGTGATGGCGTACTTGGAGTATCTCGCCAATAGGGAGGGTTTCAAGAACAAACAGTTTGAAAGTGTTACTATAGCAACGTCGCATGTTTATATCCAAAAGTATATTATACAAATCATATAGGATAAAGAATCATGTCTGGTATAGCGTAGAATATTGTGTACTGTATTTGATGTAAGCGTATCTAATATATCAATAAACTAACTTCAATACATCGTATGTATAACACTTCTAGGCAATAGCCAATAAAGTTGTAAGTGGGGTATAGCACTGTGCCATATATCCTGTATTCATATTCCTTCATTAATTATTGCAGAGCATTTAAGTAGAATATCAATTGCTTTCTTACCACTTTGATTACCGATATTAAACTATATTAATAGATAGAAATGGCTACAACAAGAATAACAGCACAACTGCCGCCAAATATCGATCCGACTAAAGCTCCGTTAGCTTATGGAGATCGAGCACTGCCAAAATTGGTAAGAAACAACTTTCATGCTATATACTAGGGTTGATAACTTATAGACCGGATAGTAAGATCTATCCGATTTTTATTAGGCCAAAGTCTATAATAGCTTCTTTATTGATAATGAAAAATTGTAATTTACGATAGTTTTTTAAACAAGTATAAATTATTTTTTAAAAAGACGTGATTGAATTTTTTGATCCAATAGAATCGTGAACTTAACAGTGCCACCTTAATCACCAGGCAAAGAGCATTAATGGCTTTATGCGATGTGATGCATAATGCTGAGCACATCTGCTCCGCTTTAAGAGTCGGTAAAAACATTTTAACTCGGTCATAATTGATAATTATAATCAAAATACGAGTATGTAACCTTCATTTCGCTTACCGTGTTCGGTTTAGTATAGTTCATGCAAGATCTAACTCTTATGTAATTAGACACAAGGAGATTGTCGACTTATAATATCGTTTCCTTGTATTTCTACCGATGTAGGCATTGTTGCTAGCCTTAGAAGATTACTTTCCGATACTAATCCGGTTGTTCGAATGAAAACGACAGAAGTTTTGTTTATTATGGCAGGTAACTAATGATTTCCTATTTGAAGCGATAACGTTGAGAGTAACAAGTAGTTCAAGTTATATGATGTTTCCTTTATAGTTTAACATTCGTATCTTTAACCGAATATTTTTATAGGTCATGCAGTTGGTCGCACAGCCTTCTTAGAAAACTACATCATTATACCTTTGGCGAAACTGGTAATCATATAGAAACAATTAATAATAACAAACCAATTATAATCTAAATATCTTAAACTACATTGCGCATTTCATTTGATTGACAATTAGTTTGATGATGAAGTCTATGACGTTCGATTAAATGCTCATAAAGCAATCCAAATGAGCACACAGTCACCACCAGGACCGGAAGGTGTGATTAATGCTCGCTTAATTGAGAGTTTGGTATCCAAACTAAAGATTGAAGAAGATGATATCCGAGTTAGTCTATAACTAATACTGATACATACACTACTTATATTGAACTTATTATATATTAATACTCATATGTATATTCTTAAATAAGATGGAGCCTATTCTATTTTATTACCATCATCTAGGAGGTTATTTTGGATACTTTGCATTCCTGCATGTTTATCGATACAGATCAAGCCTTAGAAGCATCAGCAATGAGTGCTTTTACTATGCTACTTAGTCATGATCGCCCATCTATAAGATGTAAGGCGGCTAGGGACATTATGGATTTAAGGTACCGAAATAATATAAAACACTAATTGTTACTCGCCAAGGTATCTATATATATATATATGTATTATAAAGTCATCTAATTTGATTCTGATACAATACTCTAGCTTTCCACTCGATGGTAAAAGGAAGGCATGTGAAGAAAATACAATTCCTTCTCTAGTGATCTTATTAAGAGATGATCATGCTGAAGTCAGAGCAAAGGCTGCTGGTGCACTAATGGTGTAAGTTTAATTCAAATTTATCACTGGTCTTTGCCTAATTCTATCGATCTAGAAGCCAGACAGTAAATTTTCGCTCGCCATAATTTTCTAGCATAACAATTACGACTGAGGGTAAATATAAATCAATCGAATCCAAAAGTATTCCCCCTCTGATCTCGCTTCTCAGCGATGTTCACAGCGAAGCTAGGCTAAATGCCATTAAGGTATTGATAGAATAAATGGTCAATATTATATATGCTTATTTACTTTATTTTCTATTAATGGTCCTAATTATGATAATGTAACGTAGGCAATAACAACTCTTGCTGAAGCACCATCAGGCAGGCAAGAACTTCAGCAAGTTATTGAGAAGGTAAAGCCAAAATTTTATTATAAAATGCTCACATCAGTTCTATTACTATATGCCTTGCCTTTCTCTTATTGTATAGCTACAATTTATTCAAGAAACTGACACCAGCGATGCTGTAATCAAAGCCGCAAAAGCAGCTAATAAAGTAATTACATGGAAACCATAATTCAACTGAATTATGAGAAATAATGTTCCATATCGAAATGTATCCTACTACGCGTGCCTTATCACAATAACGATTGATATGTAGGATAGAATAAGATCATTTTAATAATGATTGATTGTTACCTCTGTATTTTTTAAAAGATAATATCTATTTTAACTCACTTATAATTTACTACATTATTGACGTAAAATTTTAATATACAAAGTATAGAGTGCACTCTAGCACTATTTACAAATATAATCAAAAATTTATACTACATAATACTTACTCTGATATCTTTGCATATCAGTGTACTGTACATAACGCAGGTCTAATAAAGAATCATAATATTTAAAGAATATTGTATCACGGTAGTCGGACATGAAATTGCATATAGCATAAATAAATAGATGTGCACTTTAATCGCGAGTTTATAACGTCACATCCTCGTATAATAAATAATTTTGATCACTAATCATCGAAATTTGCAATACACGATTCAATTTGCAATTTTCTGATTAAATAATGGCTCGGGTTCTTCTTCATCTGATTCAAACTCGACGTTTTCATCTTTGAACCAATTTCCATTAGCATCCAAGCGCCATCCTAAACTGTTACACGAGTAATTAATTAATTACTTACTTAAAATATCATCAAGAAATTTTGAAGCTCGATAGTAAATAGATAAGGGTTGACATGGTCAACTACGATATAAACAAAGCCTACCTCCTCAGCTGAATATATCTTGTAGTTAGGGGATTACCAGTAGTATGACCGGTCACTATTTGACTGACTCCTTTAGGGCTAGATCGGTACATCAATTTTAATTTTATAATAAAGTATTAATATAAGTCCTCTAGTGAAAAGATACTCTACGATGACGGTATTTATTATTCTATAGACTATATTGATCCTAGACTAACTAAATCAATAAATACAAGGATATAACGGCAACTTACTTGTTTCCATCATTTTTTAATTTCGTATGTTTGGGTGGAAATACGTAGACTTTCTTTTCTTTATTTTTTTCGTTACTTTTCGAGATACATGTACCTTCATTGTTCTTAGAACTTTCATCAGTACTACACCGTGGATTTTCGTCACGTTTTCTCTTTAACGGTTGAAAAATGCTTACGGCATTTCGTGGCTTTACACATGGGTTATAAGGCGTCGCAGTCAATAATGCATGTATGGTTTTTTTCCGAGAATCCCGCAAGAGAGGGTCTACTGAGGTAGCATTAGATGCTGTTGCAAGCGTTTCCTAATACAAAATTATTGATGTAATTGGCCTCAATTAATGCGAAATATCAACGGATTTAATTAGAAAATATTCCATAAACTACTAAAGTACGAGAAATTTAGCTTTATTTCTATCACTTAGATAGAACTGGAAATACTATTAATGTACATAGTTAACGGCTACGAAAATTGACAGATCTCAACGCAAGAGTTATAAATCACCTAAACAATAAGTAAATTACTTCGACAAATATTACTAAGTTATCAATCTCAATCATCTTAACTCTATTAATAATGATGAAATGTCACGAAAAATTGAAGGATTCCATTTTTCGTCATCCTCTTCTTCAAATAAAAGTTTAAGCTTTAATGTATAGCATGTTAACCACTGGGATCTACCGTTAATCTAATGATGCCCTACATACTTACAGGTTCCACCTGCTGCCTCTTTTCTAATAATTCTAAAATCTCTTTTTTCTTATCAAGTTGCTTAGCAGACCCTATCGATAAGAAGTTTAAATAAATATTATTTATATCATGACGACACGGAAAGCAATAAGTTACAAAGCGCGCGTACAATACTGGCCTATACAGTACTACTATCACGTAATTTCAATACTTACAGTGAGCATGTTTTTTGCCTTTTCTGTGCACACAGAGCATTTCAATCGTATCAAATACTGGATGTTTGCTGCATACTAGGCAAACATAGCTAGATGATAAGAAATTATATATATATATTTATTACTTATGCGATATTCAGAGCCAATAGCACCAGAGTCATATTTTAGGATGCTCATCTATCATACGTAGTATTACTACAAATAAAAATTAATTTTTGTTTAAGATATATAAAAACACTACTACATTTTGCTAATACTTTTTATAATTCCGGTCATTTATATTTTAACATGAAATTAGGTGTATGCAATGCAAAAATGGAATACTTGGAATAGCTAGAAGTAATCATTATTGTATTACTTAAAGATATGAGAGCTTAAAGTATATATACGGTAGAGTATATCAATATATAGTATATCTGTATAAAGAAAGAGAGTGAAGTACAGTATATAACTATATACGTATATGTAATTCAAGCTGTATGCAAGATTGGAGCTGATATGTTGTATTAATAAAAAGATCTCATGAACTTGGAAGATATACAGTCTATCACATTATAAAGTATCATTATTGAATATGCTGTATGTTGCAATTCATATCATTCAAAAACTGGTATAACCATTGATTGTAGATGATGAAATAGAATTTTTCCAATTAATCATTTCTTGCCCAATTCTTATGTAAGACGCACACTATACTGGCTAATCAACAGTTAATGATCAAGATTTCCATCAACAGAACAATACCGTCCATTCTTTGTGAGTTGAGCCTCATCTTCATCTATGCTATTTGCCAGGAGTTCCGTTACTCGACGTTTCTGTATATATTGAATATATAGTGCATTGAAGTGAGAAACTTCGGATTGACAGTGTAGTAATGTGCAGTACTAGACTGTACGTTAGACTAAATAATAGACTAGGCATGACAAGTGCCTGTTTAATAATAATATTGATTGCAATCCTAGCCTTGTACCCATATCATATCGATATGCAACTATCCATGAAGAAAAAGTGAGCATCTTACTGTATAGTGAGGTATAAGTTATCCATATGATAATACTCGATTCTATATAGCTAGACTACAAAGATACCTATATATATCTATGTTGTACAACAACAACAAGTGGATGTTGGGTTTCTTGCAAGTAGCAAGCAAACGTTTATTTAGTAAAGCATTGAGGATCTTGTTTACGTATTTAACTTGAGTAAAATGTCTACCTCTTGTACTAGAGTTTAATAACATTGATTCTGTACCTTGAGAACTCTCTGTTGAGTAAAATTGTCACCAACAAGCTTGAAGGACATTCTACTTATTTATTTACTATTCTCGAGGATTACTGGCGCTTAAATTCGATGTCAATCTAGCGGCCGATGGCATCCAAGCTTTGACCGGATCGTTTCCTTGTCTACACGGTGAAATCAATGGACAAAGCGTACAGTGCATCTTACCGATGTACTGTATTTCGTACTGTAACTCACATTTTCATTGGTAGCGTCCATCCGTCTGAGAATCCGAGAGTCAATTTCAGACAAACAGCTTAGTGTACTGTACTGTACTATACAGTATAGTGGTTAGGCTTAGGGTGAAGGTGACATACTGTACTGTACTGTATAGTGTATACACTGAGATTCTCCTCAGTATTTTAATGAGATAAAGAAAATTCGAGGTTTACAGAGCGGAATATGATATAATTGAACTTCTACTACACAACAGCCGACTGTTCAAAATGCTCAAAAAGAACATGCTAGTCAAAAACCACTATAAACTTTCAAATACATCAATCACTAGATGGATAGCAGCCATATAGTGGTCTCACCATCCATGAGACCACTGCAGTGCAGTGTACTGTACAGTGCACAGTGTTCAGTACAATATTTTGTACTGTACTTTACTGTACTGTACACTGTACAACAGAACTCATTCGTACTGAGCTTGCGCAAACTAACCTCCAGCCAATTCTATGTAAACTGCATGGCATGCGGCAATTCCTCCTTTTTACCCTGGCTGGTAGTGCATCCATCTTGGTAGGGTCTGTGATTAATTGGCTCATCCACACTTCCATCCATAGCAATCCATCACATCAAAATGCCTCCAAAACTCGATCCTAACGAAGTTAAGATAGGTTAGTCATGATACAATCTTAATCTTATCTTTTTGAAGCAAAACCCTCGATAGATTGGACTTGATTCACTCTTTCATCGCCATCGGTTATGGCTGATGGTAGCGTACCCCTACATGATCGACGACATTGATATGCAGTACTTGAATTGGATCATGATCTAATCTCGATAATGACATGAAAGATAGATTGCTAATTGTCTTGCTCCACGATTGTAGGATAATGTTCATGATATATTTTATGAATAAGTTGTTAATAACCCTTGCGATGATTATTTCTATCATTAGTTCACATTCGCGTTACCGGTGGTGAAGTTGGTGCTACCTCCTCTTTGGCACCTAAATTAGGTCCACTTGGATTGGTAGGTTCTTTGATATCCGTAGGAAAAGATTAAAATTGACAATAGTGCTACTTATATTGTCGTCAACATGCTTGTTAGAATGGGATAGAATGCTATCAAAGTCAAATAAATATACAATTCAATATGGATAACCAAACAGAAACAAAGTAGTCCATGACCTAGCTACTACATTCTCCATCAATGCAATGTAGTTCTTGATTGATATCTACAATTGAGCGTTGCTACTTCTAACATTGAATTTTTCTTACCCATGATAGTCGCCCAAAAAAGTTGGTGACGATATTGCCAAATCTACCCAGGATTGGAAAGGTTTGCGTATCACTGTTCGATTAACTATCCAGAACAGACAAGCCAAAATTGATGTAGTTCCTAGTGCTTCATCACTAGTAATTAAAGCTCTGAAAGAACCACCAAGAGACAGAAAGAAGCAAAAAAATAGTTAGTATTTACTCAACATAAATAGGCACCTTTCTATGCTCTAGATAGAAACACAATCTCTCGCATGTAATACCAGTATTCAACTTACAAAATGATAAGCTAAAATCATTAACATGATGCTTTTATTCGCAGTCCTACATACTGGCAACGTACCGTTAGATCAGATAATCGATATCGCTCGTACTATGAGACCAAGATCCATGGCACGAAAACTAGAAGGTACCGTTAAGGAAATCCTTGGGACTGCTCAGTCTCTTGGTTGTACAGTTGAGCAACAACATCCTCATGATGTCATTGACGGAATTAACGATGGTTCTATAGCCATTCCTGAAGTAAGTATTGCTCTGAGTTGATTTCCTCAACTTGTATGACTACCTCCACTTTCATATATAAATGAAATTCTGTTACTTGACTACTGGTATACAGCAATTGTCGTATTAATTCGCTTTTTTATTACCTTTATCAGGAATAAACACTACGATCGAAGAATTTTAGCTTGTGTCTAATAGCTAATGTGATTATACACTATTCGGATTCCGAAATAAATGTTGTACGGCTCTTTCAATAAATCTGTTTCAATATATAGACATTGATCTAGCAGTTTATGATTGCACCCTACAAAAGATTCATCAGTAATATGGGTATGATAGGAAATGTCACTCCGTCAGACTACGCACATAGCAACAAGAATTAGAAATGATCCCATGTAACAATTAATTATCGATGATCCATGAATCAAAATTGCTATATTTCGCTCTAAACGCCATATTCATTAATCTTGCCTTGACGCAATTGGAATAATTTTAACATATCCTGCCCTATGCATGCTACAAGTTAATGTTCCAAATTATAGCTCAAAAGTAGCTTAATTTCGTCAATTCTTGTACCATTATGGACATGTCCATGCCCATCAATGCAGTCATTTATCTACTAGGTATTTATATATGCGTATCTACTTATTAGTAACGTTATTTTATCCGTATCGTATGCCAAAAGTCAATTACGATAATGAATCCGTATGTCAATTAAAGCCAGGAATCAGCGATCAGAATAGTTTGCACACAATAATACCCATGATAATATTGCAAATGCGTACAGTATATATTAATTTACGAACTGGATATTGTAACTTACAGTTCGTAGATTACATTGGTAAATAAATTATTATCAAGTAGAGTAATGTAGTAGTTTTTGCAAGTATTCCAAGTTACACAAGATATTATATATCGTTGATTTCTTAATCCTAGCTCTAGAGATTTTTGAATACTAATCTATATCAAAGTACAATCATCTAACAGTTCAATTTTTTATTTTATTTCTTGCTTATGTTGTATTTGTTTAATTAATTACTGTGAACGATTAAGAAATTCTAAATCAACAGTGGATTAATTGGTAGTTTGCATCTCAGATACTCAAAATTTTATTATATTCATAAAGACTAGCCTACAACTGTATCCTAGAATCAAAATAAGAGAGAATACAATAGGATTGTTTTAATTGGACATACTGTGTACTATCTGAACGTCCTCATATGCAAAAATATTCATAGCAAATACATAGATGAATCTAAAAATTTGGTTATGGTTAATGAATTTGCGTAACATTATTAAAGCTCTCAAAACGAACTTTTTAGGTATAAGTATATGCCAATTATGACAACGTCCCAGTAAAGTTTGTCAACTATGGTAACAACCAGAATCCAGTTAGTAATAAATGACATGGATTGCTTCATTTGTCGCACTCAGCTTTTAGATAAACAGGAAAATCTAAGACTTTTCCCCCAACAAGTTCGCTCAAATTCTGTTCAAATTACAAAGAAAGACAATTATTGAATGTCATCTGATGAATATGGCCAATAATGTACACAAGTTGATAATGTTGTTATTTAAGAGAAGGTAATACAATAGTAACTAATGACTCCATCTACTACTTTTATTAGCAACTCATCTTACTTCTCCAGCAAAAGACAGGTTGGGAGATACTTCACATTCAAAGTCTACTACATCTTTCAAGCTATATTTAAAAATATAATTTCAAATGAAACATTATAATGATAGAACTTACAGAAACGATAGCGTACGCATAGTTACTACAATGCCTAATCATCTACGATACACTTACAAAGAGGAATTCAAGTTTAATTATATTAGAGCTCTAATATTGTCAATTTCGAATTTAACGAGCAAGAGTCAAAATACTGTACCTAGAAGTATCCGAAATTTCTTTTCCATCCTTTGTAACAAATTTACCCCCAGCCTCAAGAATATAACGTCCGTGTAATTTGCCAAGAGCAGCCTTAGCAGTTTCTGGACAATCTCTTCCTGTTCCACATTTATTTTTCAATGGAGAAAATTCATCCTCTCGTTTGACTTCCATTACCGCAAAATTTCTATAAGATTAATGCAAATGATATATCGTATTCAAATGGTTAGCCCTATACTGTATATCGATTATAAATTGTAAGTATAACTTTCAAAACGTTATAGCTCCATTTTTATTTCCATAATAAATACTAACTTAGAAAATAAAAAGACGTCAAAAACAAATTTCTCCATCTTAATCCCATTCGGGGTCTCAGGTTTAACTCTATACCATGGAAGTATAATTATAATACGTGTATCAATGAAAGGAAAGTTTATCCTATTTAATATATTCCCATGGTATTATTAAATCCATTATATCCTAGTATAACATAATGAATTCATACGTTTGGCCTGATTCATTGACATAAGGAATTTTCTTTCTTGCCATATGATGTGGTAGTTCATTTTCTCTAGCGCTATAAATAAATTTAGTGATCGATAAATAGTGTGTATTATCAAGAGGATGGACAATATAATTACATTCTTGTTTGGGGGGGGGGAATTATCAATGCGTTTTGTAAATGCTCATACTAACCTAACAGTTTGAGATAAGAAATCGTAACTAAAATAATGATTACAAATATTGGCTGCATTAAACATCAATTCGCCATTCTTGTTTCGTTTTTCTGTCATTTCCTTTGAAATTTCACTGTATTCAATAACCTATATCTCAAATGAATTCTTAACGGTTAAGAAATTATAACCTTACCCCTAACAACAGTCTAGAACACTCAACTTTTTAGGTATTTAGTGTACCTGATACGTGCCGTCACATAAACATACCAAACCAACAGATTCACTGGCATCCACTTTCCTTACAACCTATGATATGATAAAAATGGAACATTTGCATGCGGTAGGATGTAAAATAAAAACATTTATGATGTCAGTTTCAGTCACGCGTACCTTGGCTCCACAATCAGCATTCTTACTAGCACAGTAGCCAGTAAAGACAGGATCCACCATTTTAATTAAAATATTATCCACGCAATAGGCTTGAATATGAGCAATTCCTCGATCCTGCATATCCTTTAAAATACCACAATTCGATAGTGCACTGTAAAGGCCTCCATTTCCATTAGGAGCGCGAGCAATCTTATCCGGAGCAGCCAAAATAATTTTGCCGTCAAAATCGAAACATGGTAAAGTACTTTGTTCAAAGAACATGATATCTTTCTCGTTTAAGCCGAAGAATTTGTGCTTTTCAAAGTAATTTCTAGTTTGTTGCTTAGTATGCTGACTAGTCATGATATACCTTGAAGAAATACGATCATGAGCATTAATATCGATAGCGTTGATATTTAAAGGACAGTTACGATAATTCATCACTATTGATACTGATCTACATACTATTTATGCTTAAAAATGCATACAACCAGTAGAATCGATAACGGTAGAATTGAATGCTTCAAGAGCAAATATTGTCTATTTTATAAAAACTCGGATGTAAGCTTTTTATCCATTTCAAGGAATTCATTAAAAGCCGACATTGAGTGCCTTCTTGACATCATAAAGTCATCGTAAGGCAAAAGATTCGTTAATCATGATCATCGAGACGATATGAACATAAAGTTATCCCAAGATCATTACTCCATCCAATTATGATGGTATGATAACATAGAGTAAACGTATCATCCATAAATTGACGATCCATTTTTCTGTACAACAACTGAATGAAACTTCCTATTTGAAATTTTAACATAAAGTATAAGGAAATTAAACTAATTGCTACAACAAAGTATGAAGTGAGCTCAATGAATAGGTTAGAAACTCCATTGTGATCGTCTGCATAGTATACACTAAAGTAAAATGAAGAATGCTCTAATTCAGTTGATTGTGTAAACAATACAAAATGTTCACCTTGGTTTCGCCAATTAACTTATTAAGATGTACAGTAGAGTAAGCTTTTGACAAACATAGAGAAACTAATCATACTATTATAGAGGCTTAGAAAGATACTAAAGTAATTCATGTTCATAAAACATACTAGCTACTACGCAATCCATTTCATTTCATTGGCCACATTATTTATCAATGGAGTTCGCTACTTCTGTACATAATTTTAAGAGATTGTGACTGTATGATCGAAATTAGCCGAATTACTGTAATGTGATAAGTTTTTATTACTTGCGATAGCAACTGGATATCAATCCGCACAAAATAAAGAAGAAATTTCCTACGCTAATGGACACTGAATGAGAATCATTTCCGCTAACAATGTCAAAATTGCGATATTAATTCTCGATACGTGTACGAGTATATATATATTATTGCTGGTGTTGAAGTATACATCAGGGTAAATCATAGGAAAGATTGGTGATGTGTGTGTGTAAGGGATAGCCTTGTTGTCTACGCACGCGAGTCAATTATTCATTGGAAAAAATGTCTAAAAATGGTGAGTCCAATAAAAGTTAGAAATGTACAAGACTGCACCAGCTGTTGCATCCCATGTTAAGAAATCGCTACGAAATTATGCTGTCTAGAATCAATGATTGATGGCAATTATCACACTTTGTAACTGGCACTCGATGACGATGACGACAGCTTTGAGACTATCCATAATGCAGTGGAGATTCAATAATTGGATGATAAAGTAGATGTCAATCCAATCTAACTCTATCGCATGACATAAGGTAGACAGTTTGAATTTGGCTACTTGAATTTTGCAACTATTCTATCGTCATATTGTACTACTAATTGAGCTGTTTATGTTACGTATTCATTCTTTAAAGCATGTACATCACTTTATGTCCATTTGTGTACTTTATCTACTGTATTTAGAAATTGACCAACACATGTGTCGATTTAATTTTCGGTCTACCAAATTGAACAAAGTGAGTAGAGATAGAAATTGAATGCATTATAGCTCTACAAGAAGTATGTTTTAAAAGCTAACAACTCCAAAGTAATATGAAGTAGGATGAGAAGTGATAAAGTTATTGACCGAGCGAAGTTGATCGATATTGTATTAGCTGATTTATCCATCTACTAGCAACTGGTAAAGAGTTACAGTAAAAAGAGTTTTACCTCACCGTCCCTGGGGATTTTATATAGTAGTCGAACTGTCCGAGAAAATTCTCTTGGAAGCCCTTGTACTAGCTGAACCCGCACAATTTAATATTATTATTTACAGAAAACACTTTTCTTCGGCTAAAATTATATCAGTAATTAATAAATTATTGAAAATAATATGAAGAAAGAGTATGTACAGTTGAAGATAAAAGAATAAATTTAATGTAGTTTGGAGTAAAATGAGAAAGAAACATTATCTGCCATCCAAAGCAAATACTTGCAAATACAGTATGATAAGCCTCGACATCTCTATCACTGCCAAGTAGCGATAACTGAAATGAAGAAGGTGTTTATATAAGCCAAGCAAATAATCACAGCAATACTGTACATATCATGAGGAGACTTGATTTTGGACAATTTGAAAATACTGTATAAAATTAATTAATCCAATTGTAATATTGAGAAAATGTCATGGACTACTAGAAGAGAATTTGGGACTAGTAGCCCATGACTCCGATTACATTGAGGGTTTGTAAACGTTCCTCTAAAAGAGTGCTGGATTTGATCTGACCATGTAGACTGTCTCATTACCAACGCAATATCTATCTTGCAAGATAGATACTGTTACTGATAATAATAGTCTATCGTGCAGATTTGAATTCTGATTGTGCCAAAAAAGATGCCATGTCTAGCCATTCATTCGATATAGAACTGTCGAACATTGGTCATCCTTTCTTGATAACATCGACCTACAGTATTGCATCAAGGTTATCCTACAATAACCTCCTATGTAGATACTGTTTGATAGTCCATTAAGAATAGATCATACATGTTAAGCGTAAGTCAATCGTCTGCAATCTTTAAATTCATTGAAAGAAAAATAGAAAAATTATTACTATCGTCCGCATAACAAGAAATGATGTGAGCTGAAGGTAGAGATGGTTTTCTATCGGTAAGAGGATGATGAAATTAATGTTATTATTCAAGTCAAGCAATCGCTTTACGCTTCATGCCATTCTTCAATGGGTTATTTAATAATATCCAAATAGTTGGTGATTCCAAGTCAATGGAGAGAGGAATAAGATAGGGTAAAATGGTTCCCCCCCCCCAAAAAAAAATGAACCAACTTACCACGGTATAGTGCCTTTTTTGCCTGTTCGCTCTTGGGCTAATTGTTGCAATCGAAACATTCTCTCGCCTTGAATCTGATATAAAGATTTGCCGGAAGGTAAGCCAACACAGTACATCCCTTTAGGGTAATCAACACCTAGTCGTGTACCTTGACCACCAGCTAATAAAATGACAGCCACTTTATTATCTGCGATTAGATTTAACCCTAATGTTTGCCAATCTTGGCGATGGCTATCGACATTAGGCAATGTACAATAAACATCTTCTGGGAGTGGCAAGATATGATCATCCTTCTTTTGCGAATGGCTTTGACCGGTTTGCATCACCTTTTCAAATGATTGCGTTACATATTGCAAATCCAAGCTATCGATATCATCAGCTAGTAATTGGCGTTGAGTTTGATCTAACTCATCCCAATATTGTAGTAAATTCTCCTGATGATAGGCTTTCAATTTATGATATAAGCGAGTCTTTAATTCGTCGGTCATGGCTGCTGCTTGAGTGATGGAAGGGAAATGATTGGCGTCGGTTTGTCCAGCCCAAGGGTGTTGCTAGGCGTATCGCTTAGGCATCACTACGACCACAGGCGATGATATCAGTCATCGATTGGATACTGTCTATAAACTGTCCCGGTTGGACTGTTTCACCAACTAGCCTATCACGCTTTCACTGTCTTGCGTCAGTATACAGTAGGGTCGTCTAGAGCAGTCTTCATCGGGCCTAGCCATCAACACTCCAACTCATGCTCACCTCGGCTACTGCCTTGTGGACTGTTATATATATGGCTGTCTTACATAATGTTCTTCTATGCAGAGGAAAAGAAGAAAGTGGCAAAATACGAATGGATGCCTAGTCTGTAGTCATAATCCCACGGCATTCTACCTCTAGGAGAAAAGGTTTGATCATAGGGGTGGCTAGGTGGTCATCTCACTCGATATGATATATTACTAGCAAAAGTAGTCAGATTGCCCATTTCCAGTATGGCAAAGGGCAGTTTGATGTCCCTCTTTCCTTTTTTGAGTAGTCGACTGCCTAGTGGACTGTATAATGTATATGGCTGTCTTACATAATGTTCTTCTATGCAGAGAGGAAAAGAAGAAAGTGGCAAAATACGAATGGATGCCTAGTCTGTAGTCATAATCCCACGGCATTCTACCTCTAGGAGAAAAGGTTTTGATCATAGGGGTGGCTAGGTGGTCATCTCACTCGATATGATATATTACTAGCAAAAGTAGTCAGATTGCCCATTTCCAGTATGGCAAAGGGCAGTTTGATGTCCCTCTTTCCTTTTTTGAGTAGTCGACTGCCTAGTGGACTGTATATTGTATATGGCTGTCTTACAAAAAGCGGCAAAACACGAATGGATACCTAGTCTGTAGTCATAATCCCACGGCATTCTACCTCTAGGAGAAAAGGTTTGATCCTGAAGGCTAGTCTTGATCTACACGCCCCATAGGGGTTGGCTAAGTGGTCATCTCACTCGATATGATATATTACTAGCAAAAGTAGTCAGATTGCCCATTTCCAGTATGGCAAAGGACAGTTTGATGTCCCTCTTTCCTTCTTTGAGTAGTCGACTGTATACTGTATATGGCTGTCTTACACACAATGCTCTTCTATGCAGAGGAAAGAAGAAAGTGGCAAAACACGAATAAACACGTAGTCATAATCCCACAGCATTTATCCTATACTGTTGGAGAAAACATCAGAGTGGCCAGGTGGTCATCTCACTCGATATGATATTACTAGTAAAAAGTACTCAGATTGCCCATTTCCAGTATAGCGAAGGACAGTTTGATGTCCCTCTTTCCTTGTTTAAGTAGTCGTTGTGCAAAGTGTACTTGATTAAGAGTGTCCTGTTGTTGTAGATGCCATGGCCGTGGATACTCCATCATTCTCGAATTCATTCATTTCCCCTTCCTAGTCCACTCTAGTGTACAGGATACAATTGTACGCTCCAGTAAGATGGACGACTGGAGGAATCTGGCAGTTATTGGCTGCAGGAAAAGCGTACATTCACTATTATAATATACAGTAAAGTATGTAAGTTCTACATTACTACACTACTGTCTATGAACAGATGCAGACATGAATCTCTATTGTAGTTTGCTGCGATAATCCTATAATGTCCACTAAGTTAACGCTAACCATCATGGATGACTAGAAGAAGACCTTACTGTCGACGGATCACTCCTTCGGACGGATAGACATTTCCCACCTCATCTCCTTCAAATATTGTATCAAACGCTTGGTTAGGCCAGTACTATTAATAGAAAGACAGTCAATTTTTGAATTTTGACTGATAGTTTGGTTATCAAGGAATATTCCATTGAATCTTATTATCTGTTATAAAATGCTGCTTGAAAACAGATCATAGACGCAATTTCAATGAGTACCAGTGATTTAGAAAACAAGCATGGAAGATCCATACCGCTGTAAGTGGTCATTTTGGGATCTTGACGGCCTGCTTGAGTAAGAACGGTCCGTCTGTCTAGTCCAGGGCGACCTACAGCAGGTCTTCTTCTAGTAGTCCATGGTGGAGTTAATAGGGTGGAATCTGGCAGTGGCTGCAGGATACCGACAGTAAAAACTCAAACTATGCACAGAATACTATAGCCTATAGTATTATCAGAAACTGCTTCATCACTCCCAATTCACCAAAAGTAGGTAGTTGCATGGATTACTAGAAGAACTTAAAAAAACATGGAGTAAGTCCTGGTAGTTGGTTAATTTTGTCTAGTGGGGTGGTTGAGGAGTCCATACTGTACAGTACTAGAGTATTGTCAATACAGTATAGTACCACGAACGACTGTCGAAGAGAAGCTTACCACCCCCACTGCTACAGTCAATCAACTGTCCCGTACCGTACCGGACCGGACCATACCGGACCCACTTTCCAAGCACTCGCGTACTCATCAATTATGTCATCCGTACAGTACGGCGCGTGTGCACGTATGCGCAGAAGAAAAAATCTCGACCCACTTCCTTCATCATAAGCAATTGCACCGCCAGCCAGCGAAGATCACTGCTAGTGGAAATGGTGAGAAATTACAACTACAATTCATTTGCAACTAGGATTACTTCATTTAAAAGTCAATTCCATGCACAGAATACCTTAGTTGACCTCTGTTTCATGAGAAATATGCCTAGAGATATCCTATTCGGCTAGTATAAGAAAATGAAGTGTAGGAAAATTGGCACTTCCAGTCGTAGGAAGTAGTCACCCACTCAGTTGCTGTAGGACTGCTGTGTACAGATGATGTTGGTCATCATCGTGCAGAAAATTACTTATTTTCACTCTTGATCAATCTTTCCTTGCCACATAGCCAAATAGACAGTATGTGTATCGAAATAGGATAGACGAACAGACATGATTGGCTTTTAGTATCCACTTGTACCGTAGGAGGTACCTCATTGTCCAAAGATAAATGTAATACGGCGATGCCTTAACTAAAATGACGGTAACCTTCATTACAGCAAAAGACAGATCGATTGATTTCAAGGGAAGCAATCTATTTTTCATGGCCTACCAAAATCCTAAAGTTATCCTCACTTTAAACTTGCCTTAAAGTCATAGGACACAACAATACCCAATGCATGCATCAATGAAATCACCTGATACTGAAGAAATACTTTACTGTGATGTAACTTAATACTTTGTACAATATTGGTTTTTTAGATTTCATTGCTTTGATCCAATTCATTACTAGTATGCAGTGGTTGGTTGCTATCGTCTTGTGTCGACTAACTAACTATACAGACGAAACAACTCTTACCTTGACAAATGTTAATTCTTTTTAACAACTTGATTATGCAACACAAAATAACTATTTTATTACCTCAATAATCTCCTCATCCATTGAATATAAATCCATAGGTACTGTACTCGTAAAGGTATAAACTTTCATATCCGGCCAACTGCGATAGCTTTTAACTACTACTAGGATATCAATTCTACAGTACTTACTGCATATTTACACCATTAGAAATCTATTTGAACAAATGATAGCTATAGTAATGAATTCAAATCAAATTGAACTCCGAAATGGATGATATTACACCAATTAGTTATGGAATTGTACTCACGTTAAATGAGTAAATTGTATGCAACGGTATAATTGATGATTGAAGAGTAATACATATCTTCCTTATATCATAAATTTATGTCATTGTCAACAGCCATTAAATAAGAAAGTGTAAACCATCTACCGCTTTATTTCCGTACTAATGTCTAATCAATTAAATCGGAAATATACCGTCATAAGTTACTTACAGCTTTGTCACATTTTTATACTGCTATCGATCCCCCCCCCCCCGCATGAGTTCATACTACGAACGAAAATGTCGTATACCTCAAACTACAGTATTCAGTATCTTTAATCGTAAAATTGTCAAGTCATGTTGCATAATATGAATTAAAAGTACAGATATACGTTACTCCTCAAACCGAGGATATATCACCACTTCACTCATACAAACCCAATGTCTCAATTACGCTATAGAGCTTCTTCAGATTTGGACAGTCAGCTGACTTAGAAATCGAACTTGACAACGCAGATGATAGGCAGCCAACTGAAATAAAAACCGAAGAAGGCAAGCTTGAGAAATTAGCTCTCTTTTATGATGGTGAAAATATTAAGGGCAAGGTGAGGCATAGTATATTCAATATTCGAAATGATTTAATCTACTATGTGTATTCAAGGTATTAATTGTACAACTTCACCTAACAATACATCATCAAATTTACATTAGCTAAAAATTCAATTAAAGAATCCTGGAAAAAAGCTAGAACACCAGGGTATTAAAATTGAATTTGTTGGTCAAATTGGTAAGTCGAACTGGAGATAAGTTCATTTGGTTATGTTTTCATCATAGAGCAGTAAATACTGACTAAGTTCGAAAACTTCCAAGCATAAAAGCAATCACTTCAAACTCTTTCGTAATGTCTATTAATAGAGCTTTATTACGTGGTTATACTTTATATACAGTTAATAAATAGATAATCCCAAAATTTAGCTCAAGCCCTTAATGTCGAAAAGCAGTATCCGTGTATACATTTTGTTATTATTTTAATATATGTATTGAGGGCCTAGATATACCTTGTTAACTTTTAATCAATCTATTAATATTTTATGAAAACAATGAAATAATTAAACTCTATTGGTCTATTTATATAGAACTGTATTATGATCGTGGCAATCACCATGAATTCATCTCACTGGTAAAAGAATTAGCTCATCCCGGCGAATTAACTCAAAATGCTGCCATCGATTTCGAATTTGTTAATGTTGAAAAACCTTTTGAGACCTATAGTGGCAACAATGTTAGGCTTAGGTTAGTCAAGCCTAAAAAACGTATGACTAAATTACATCACTCTAAAACCTTGTAAATATACCAGCATAGTTCTTGACATAAATTATACTCAACGCTAAAATGTAGGTATTTCCTGCGTGCATCCATCTGTCGTCGTATTTCTGATATCGTAAAAGAGCTGGATATTGGCGTCCATACCCTTTCCCAATATCCTGATATTAATAACAGGTAATAGCAGAGATGGCTTGCTAAATTTAATTTAATTTAATATTTTATGCTACTTTTAACTAAATTTTCAATATTGCAGTATCAAAATGGAAGTCGGAATTGAAGATTGTCTGCATATAGAATTTGAATATAATAAATCTAAGTAATATCTTATTGCAAAACTTACGAAATACTCCTAATATTAATTAATTAATTAATATCGGTAAATAATTTCGATAAGAGTAATATTTCATGGTTCGATTTATATGGCATTTCTTAGATACTCCTTGAATGACGTAATCGTTGGTAAAATATATTTTTTACTGGTCCGAATCAAGATTAAGTACATGGAATTGGCCATTATCAAGCGAGAACAGACAGGAACAGGTGCAAATGTCTACCATGAGAACGAAACCGTTGCAAAGTTTGAGATTATGGATGGCGCACCAGTTAGAGGTCTGCATTTTTTAAAGTATTTAACAATTAGAATTACTGGTGAAATAAAAGATCTTCACTCTTCTGTAGGGGAATCCATTCCAATCCGTTTGTTCCTAGCTAACTACGATTTAACGCCTACTTTAAAAGACGTAAACAAAAAATTCTCTGTCCGCTATTTTCTCAATCTTGTTCTAATCGATGAAGAAGATAGGAGATATTTTAAGCAACAGGTAAATTAATTAATTTTATTATAGTATCTCAACAAGATGTAGTGTATTTTATGCGCAGATTGATGACTACCAAGGCGGATGGTATTTACGTTACGATACCAAATAATAACTTCGTATAAGCTCCTTTCAGTAATCCAGTTACTGGTGCGATGTAGACATGTACTTATTAAAGTTATACTTGTTTTGTTGATCTAATCGAATAGGAAATTATCTTATGGCGAAAAGCTAAAGGAGCGAAAGATATTTCAGCATCTTTGAAGAAAGTTTAGGTTACACCTTAGTCTCTATTGTAAAATCTTAATAGTTTTTAATTGTCTACAGTACTGTACAACTGCATCGTTCATTCTTGATTAGCTAGTTGTAAATTTTCATGGAATTGTGAAATATTGCTATAAATCAATAACGGCAACTTTCGCCATCATAACGATTACTACTTCTATTATACTGCATCATTAAGTAGAGATAAAAATATAGAGTTTATGCAATTATTTCAAAGATGTGGCTTATCCTTCAATTTTCTTGGCATAATTTAACTATTTTAGTTATGTTGCAATTTTCATATCGTATAAGATCGGATCTATAGTCAAGACAAAGTATACATACTATCATTGCCTTGCTTGAAAAAGCTCGAGTCTGTCACAATGATTGGATAAAGTAACAGTCTAACTACGGTCCGATTGTGTGTGCATAATTATTAAACCGTTTGCAAGTCACGAAACACTAAAAGGTCTACGAATTGTAATCGATCTCCTTATCATAATGATACTTTTATCAAAATAATTTAGACTATAAGTAACTGCACTAAATGACACAAACACACATCTAAGAACTTTCAATTCCTTAGCTTCTTTGGTAATCAGGGCATTGCACGCATGATCATCTTTAGTTCAATAAACCTTTATTGTTGAACAGTCATTAACCAAAAGTACAATATTATAATATGTCGAAGGTAATAAAAGGTCAAAGGTGTAGTATCTGTTCTATCCCTTTGCGTGACATCCCTTACGAGATTGAAACGCTACGACCTATCACATGAGCCTTATGTCAGCAATCGCCTCGATAAAAAATATTACACGTACTTCCTTATCAGTGGAACCAGTGACTATGGTATCGCATATTCTAATCTTTACGAGCTCCGCTCTAATAGGTTACATTAAATTTTTAAACTTAGGTGCAAATGCCATTCTTCATTCACTGCTTCTTCACCAAAACACTCATTCTTAGCCAAATCCAATGCTAAACGTTTCGTACTATATAAAATGTTAATTTCCTAATGACTCAGCTTTGTGCAATGCTAAGTCTCTAATAATCAAATTATAATATGTAAACAAGGGCGCATAATAGGATCAAAAATTCGTAATTACTGGACAGTAAATCAATCACCGATGCAAAGTGCAATGCAAGGGACGATTCTTAAAAGTAGAACAGAAAAGGCTTTCAGCATTACCAATACTAAATACGATCATTTTTACCGCATAATGGTGGACGGTAATAACCACCATGAGCTTATTTTTTGGCAAATGCGATATTCATTTGATGAGTTGGTGTAATTTTAAAGCCATTCAATGAATTACGAGCTGTAGCTGCTTGAATCTCCGATTCAAATTCGACAAATGCAATATCATGTCTTCCTGGAACCAAACGGACTTCTTTATATCCAGGAAATCTGTCAATGAACACACCATGATCGAATTAATATACAGCTCAAAATCATACACACTCACAAAAGTAATACTGATCAAGACTTTTTCAAATTTTATGGACAAAAGGACATACTGATTGAATAACATCGAAAGCATTAATTCCGTAGTCTCTTCAGGGAGATTAGTTAAGAATAAGATCTTATTAGGAAGTTCCTCTTGGCTACCGGCAGCATGTGGCATTCCTAGAATAAAAAATTGAATTTTTAAATCAATAAATTAATAACAAATGCCACCAATTAGGTACGTAAATATCGAAGTTGTATTGACAGTCATACCGAAAGAAGCTCTACCAGTCGCAGCAGGAGCAGGTTCGCCAGCAGCAGGAGCTTGTTTCTTGGCAGGTTTCGGTTTCGGAGCTGAGCAGATTTATACCATACGCATATTTAGAAAATAAGATTGATACCATGCAAGTAAATACTAAGGTACTAATATAACGCTATATTGTATTCTTGTATTAACCTTCGTCGGGCTTTCTCTTCTCTCTAACCTTCTTCTCCCTAGGTACATATGAGCCATCTTTCTTAGCTACCGCATCTGATTTCGATTTACAATAAGTAATTCTCTAAAATTCATTGTTAAGTAAGGAAGAATAAATTTGTAAGTTATATATTTTCGAGTGCTATATACACCAAATTCTATTTGCTTAATTTGTAATATTTCACAAATGTTTTATTAATTTCTTTTAAACATTAACCAAGATCGCAAACGTTTTACTCTTATGTAACACTACCGATTAGTATTGATATCAAAAATTTATAGATCTTGCCGAAGCTACTTTCTAAATATATGATTGTCAATTCATATCAATAGCATATTAATTCACTTTAGCACGTAATAGCTACTAGGCACATACGGAAAGTACGTATAACGATATATCGACTGGTAAGTCGTGCAAATAAAGGCCTAGGGTAGTAAAATTTGTATGAGTCTACAATGACTTCTTTATTACCATAGGCTTCTCATAAAAAGGAAATCCTTGCATCGCTCGTAGTGCGTTAGTAGCACTACTAATATCCTCAAAAACTACAAACGCTTGTCCTCTCATCTTTAAAGTTTTCATGGCAATGATATCCAATATCGCGCCAAATTGAGAAAATATCGCGTATAAGGATTTCTTTAATTCTAATCCAAAGGTAATAAATTAAATTATATATAATCATTAGATAGATCCTTGGGAAATGCAAAGTTGATATACCGTAATAAAAACTTTTGTAACGTGTATATTATCCTATGTATTGCGAGTAAATTCGTGCTTATTATTATGTCTGTATCTTGGTTACTCAAGTTTTCATACCCATCGAAACATATACGTATTTTGCTTTCTCTACGGTATTTCGTTAATTTATCATTATAACTGTAAAGACGTTAGAGTATATGGGCTATGGTAGCGCTTGCATAATTACTACGATATGGGTGATCCTAATAACTAATTATATCAGCAAACGTGCAAATACTATCTAAAGATACGAAAGTCCATCATAAATTTACTTTAATACTACATGAATTTTGCAATAGCGATAGGATTTTATTGGCTGGCTAAAAGATTGCCATTTATCTGCTGTCTTGCTGTTGAACTAACCTTCTTTCTTGACCTTCTCATTTAAATTATTAACGTATAAAGTTTGATTTGGAGGGATATCGATTGACATCTTGCCTTAGGAATATCCAATGTTACGATTTCTATAGAAAGGAAACAATAATATTGTTATTGGTAAGACGATCAAGAAATCAAGTTGTAGCTCGGAGTTTATTGAGTTGGTATTGCAGTCACTAAACGTTCCATCGTTACTTCTACGATTGCAACATCGTAATTGCAGTCAAACGAAGCATTGCTAGCCAAATTCCTTTGGAGATTGAACTGAATTACAGTACTTTAGTATAATTATCATTCTCAGTCAACCTCTTTGAATTGCATTCTACGGTCATACCGTACAGTAGTGACTGCACGCGTATAGTAGTTTATACAGTTGCAACGGGATACTTCAACAAAGCTACGGCATAATCAATGGAATAGTGGACGCGAACAAAGTGCATTTTAGTCATTTTTTTGTGTTTTCAAAGCATGAAGATTACCGTTAGCCATTCCAATACTTTACACTCTCATTGCTATTACCTGATAATGGTAAAAGACCTCCATCAGCATTACAATAATATATACTGTATACTTGGAGTAGAGTCTTGTGTAAGTCCATTTACAGTTCATGCGTCCATTAATCCTTTTCTAGTCGCTAACTAAGTACTATTTCCTATCAATCTCAGCTGCACTATACAGTAGTATCCAATCAACTAGCGATAGTGATCTGATACATGTGCATTTTATACGTACAGTATATTAATTAGGTGACCTATTCCTATCGTCTTTACTGAATAACTGTCAGTGCATCATGTCGTTGGCATAGCAAAAGTCGATGAAACTATCAAGACGTGCAGTACCGTACAATGTCCGTTGACATCCTCTATTTGAGTGCAAAAAATACCGATTATCGACTATACATTCTGGTGGATATGTAAAGGCATGACAAAAATAGTCACCCATTAGCATCACCTTTTCATCATTAAGCTATCAGATGGCTTACCGAAGAGATGGCTGCGATAATCGAAGGATTCAGTCGGCAACTATGGCTAATTACTTTGGACCTGTGGGTAGAAATTTGAAAAGGGCTCGCTTACAAGTTTCTTTCTGAAAGTTGGCGTTCAGTATTGAACAGTACAGTACTATATAGTACAGTACTAGATTGACTGTAAATTCTATACTGAGAGCTGTAACTTTACAGTGCTGTACCTGCAGTGGTTGTACAATGTACAGTACAGTACAGTACTGTACTGTACAGTACAAACTCGCTAAGCTCGAGAATTTGTACTGTAAGCAAAAGATTTTGTACAGTGTACAGTACAAACTCGCTCAGCTATAGTACTGTACAGTACTGTACAGTACTAGATTGACTGTAAATTCTATACTGAGAGCTGTAACTTTACAGTGCTGTACCTGCAGTGGTTGTACAATGTACTGTACAGTACAGTACAAACTCGCTAAGCTCGAGAATTTGTACTGTAAGCAAAAGATTTTGTACAGTGTACAGTACAAACTCGCTCAGCTATAGTACAGTACTGTACTGTACTACAGTAGATTGACTGTAAATTCTATACTGAGAGCTGTAAATTTACAGTGCTGTACCTGCAGTGGTTGTACAGTACAAACTCGCTAAGCAGTACAGTACAGTAGAGTACAGTCAGAGATTGACTGTAAATTCTATACTGAGAGCTATAAATTTACAGTGCTGTACCTGCATTGGTTTTACAGTACAATGCAGTGTACAGTACATTGTACTGTACGTTAAATTCGAGAATTTCTAAGCAAAGATTTTGTACAGTGTACAGTGTACAGTGTACAGTCATAATCACTGTAATGCTCTCTGCTTGGTTTTAGCGGGAAATCAAACCGAACAAAAGAGAAGTGTTGCCACTTTGATTGACTGCAGTCAAGGTGGAGAAGAGTCTTGGAGTAGAGGATGAAATAAAGTTGCCAAAGCTCTATGGCCTACATTGAGGAAGCTACACAATTCTGATAGGAAAAGAGTGAATAGTCCTTCCATTGACTGTGATATCGATCAGCTAATTAACATATTAAACTCTGTGCTGTAGTCTCCCTCTTCGATCCAGTACAGAGCTGCTGCAAACACGATGAATGAACAACCTATGCCAATCAACGATGAAGAAACACTTTTCGATGGAAATATTCCAAGTACTGCAAATGGACTCCAAGACGAAAAAGAAATACAAGCTATTGAAAATGGCTTAAAACGTAAAGTAATTCGTCAACCGAGACCTAAATTAGACAGCGATCGCCTGACTTCTGAAAGAGGATTACGAGCCTTACATCAACAATTTAACAAGTTACACTTTAAAAAGAAGAAAGATTATCATAATAATTTAATAACTATACTAAGAATCTACGAACATTGGGCGCATCGTTTATACCCAAAGTTACCCTTCGTTGATGTAGTTCACAAGGTTGAAAATCTTGGTAGTAAGAAGGCTGTCCAGTACGCCCTTTCCCTGATACGCTTAGGTCAAAACGACCATTACTTTCAGCAAGATATTGACGACAATGATAATGGCGATTTCAATAACGATGTACAAGAATATCAACAGGATACGAGCACCCGTAAATTATCCGAAACGAATGACTTAGAATTAACACTTAGCGATGATACCAACAACAAAGAAAATGAATACTCCAATAAAAGCTAAAAATGATATCTACATTGATACCATCCAATTGATATCGTAATAATACAATCTTATTTTGACTGAGCAGAATTGGATTAGTATGCAAATCAATCTTCGCTCTACAATATCCCGCACTCACTTTGTGAATTACAATTGGAACTAATGCTAGATTTATTTTTGTTCATGGAAATTTGTCATTAAAATTAAAGTCACTATCTTCGCCTACATGCTCAGGTAGTCAAGTTGTCAGACGATGTGCACATTATCAACGGCCTGTCGTCTTACAACATTTTGTGTCAAAGCTCAATAGTTCTAACTTAGTTCACATCAATAGTATAATGAGTATTGCAAGATCTTCGAAAGTCACTATTCTACAGTACTTATTCTTGTTTAGGCAGTAGATATGTCTACTATAACTTTACCATATTATACATTTTCTCATATTCGACCTCATATGCAGTACTATATGTTTCAAGCTTACTACCCTTGTAAAAATAATAATATGCAAATTATGCAAGTAAATGCCTCGAATTTGAGCTCAAAATTCTTTTATTGTACGTCTATTAATTATGATTACTAAGATTTCAATAAATTAATTATATACGTAATGATAAAATTTCTATACGTGGCGCTCGCGTACGCAAATAGCATCAAATTTAATCTTAAAGCTAGCCTCTAGATACTGTACATTAAACCCATGCAATATTAGAATATTATTTTCGATCTACTGGAGATTAGACTCAGAGATACAGAAAACCTCTATGATTAGACTATTCTGATACCAATAACCTTTACTTAACTTCCAAGGTAAGCCATTGCCTTTCTGAACTACGGTGTGAAACTAAAAGTTAAAGATTAAAATCTTCTCTAAGGATTTCATGCACCATATCTATTGCAGCTAAACACGAGTATAAATGATACTGTATAAATTCGGCACTATTGTGCAAACGGACTTATTACTAAATACAATGCAATTTAGTGTACATTGATATGATTGGCAGCAATAAGCCTAATGTTGATGAGAAACAGCCATACGAGTCTCTAACGCGAAGTTCACTACAGTAATATTCACACTATCAAGACTAACACTTCCAAGAAGAAATTGCCATCTGTCTGCATCTTGTACGTTGACTTCTATAAAATATCTATCAAGGCAATTGAAGACGTTACTACCATAACAAATAGGTCATACATTATAAGTGAGAACTCTTTAACATTTAATAGCAAATTAACTCGGCAGATTCCATGACATTACAGTATCCTTAAAAGAAAAACAAATTATATTTTTCTGTTCGCCTTAGATAAGTATGCAATCAGTATGAACTCAATAACGCACATAAGTTAACCACACTTCAGAATTCAAGTACAAAGAAAATGTAGGACATGAACACATGACTAAGCAAACTTAAACTGTTTATGACATTCATTATTCAGACATCACTTAATATACCTAAAATCCGAACTTTTATTTTATCGCTAAATTACTTGATAATTACGTTTATTGTAACTTAACGTTTACGGTCAATAATAGCATTAATGTTACTTATGAAGTGAATAACTTCACATCTGCCGTGTCTTTTCCAAAATAAAAATAATTAAACAAGCAATAAAACAAAGTTAGTGCATTAGTAAATCGAAACACCGTTTCCTAGGCACTATGCAGTACTTGAGTTACAATTGACAGATCTAACCTGTAGTACCACATAAAATTATCTATCAAAACATGACCGATAAGACAATCAGTAAGAGCGTTGTTATCTAATTGCCTTACATAACCATAGGAAGAAAGGTCCATTGCAAAATATGACTAACATAAGGAACTGCTACTCGGAATAACCAATAGTTTGCTTCTTTTACAGCGTACACATACAGGAAACATTGTGACAGTTTGTAAATACTTTGCTTACTAAAATCAAACATGATAATTGTAATTGTATATTTCTTCAGCCTATTCAAGCTAATTCATTAACTACGATGTGCTAATATTGTATGTTGCTGAGTATTACTACATGAACAGTATATAAGCCACCAACTGGTTACTGGAATGTTTCGCAATAAAATAAGACAGTAACAAAAAATGTTTATACGGTATTATTGCAATATTATTGAATGTAACAGTACTTATGATTGCAATAATTATAGCAAGAATTGTAATATCTTGCGAAACAACGAATAGTTCACTAAATATTCTTTTTTCTGACTACTTTGTTATGATAAACGGTTACCGATTTGCAATACTCGATATCGCTTAGAAGTGCTAAAGTGGATGAACTAAAAGTATCATAATCGGTAAGATAAAAATACTGTATATCAGATACTGGCTTGATACATGATTGATTTTATAACTTAGGTGGCATTAAAGCAGTGTAACCGAAACTACCAAAATCATTCAGTTACGAGTGTAAAAATGTGTGTAGGAATGTTGATAACTGTAGCACACAATATACACCCATTTAGCTGTTAAATAATAGCGAGTCGTACACGCCTTAAGATTACAATTAAATGAAATTTCTAACATTGTACGTGCACGCTATTGTAGTAACTTTAAAGGCGAAAAATCAATACGTCACGACATCTTCTAAAAAGTAGATTATTCAATAAACAACATAACATAACGTGTTTTAAGTCGATTATTGAAAATTGCCGATAACACGTAATTTAGATTGTAAACTCTAGACAATACCATATTACGTATACCAGTAGCTATAGAAATTGTTATAGAAAAAGCACATTCAACTAACGTAATTACTGTACTGTTTAAGTATTATTTATTGACTATTTTATTCTCGCATAATTTTACAAATCTTAGATTTTACTTTGAGAGCTTCATAGAGCTCGGGATGATGCCTTCCAGACTTTCATGCAATCCAAATCCAAAATTGTCCAGTGAAATATCACTATAACAGTTTATCTTATTCAGTAGCACTTTTTTCTTCATCGTCTTTCACTCCAAGTCTATCGCAGTAATCCGATATAATCTCTTTAAACTTTGATAAGCATGACTGAGGAAGCCTTACAGCATTACGAGTTCTTCCACGGACCTACAAGGACACAATTTTAGGTAAGGTTATAGGAAATCGTTCCATCATTTCTATGAAAATATTAAACAAAAAAGTATATCAGTGAATAGATGTACCTCCGTGATCCTTAGAAACGTTCCGCGATTATTCTTTCCAACGTCGAAGTAAATTCTCTTGCTTTCTGCGCGTAACATCTGGCTGTCTAAAGACGTTTGCTCAGTCTCAACATCTTCTACCCCAAATTCATCTAGAAGGTCACTTAAGGCATCTTTCATTTCTGCAATGCCTTGAGCAGGTAGTGCAATCTGATTACGACCCCCATAACGCAAAACTTGACTGATCTATCAAATAGAGGTACAATTTAAAATAGGGTTATTATAATTATTAAGAAAGAAGAGCAGACTACCTAAAGTTGAGATTATAAGCAGAATAACACAAATGGATAACTTACCCTTAAAAATTTTCCACGAGGATTTTCTTTCAAGTCCAAATAATACCATTTCTCTCCCTTACGGATAACCCCACTAAATTAAAGCGTAAAGGAAAGCCATTTTAAGTTGGGTACACAAGAAATTGGAAATAATGTCGCTATCTAGCTATGTTTCAACCTATGAAATAAAATTACCTCTTCAAATTTCCACTTTCACCTTCCTCATTTCGGTTGCCAGGGTCTATCATAATAACATTAAAGCTTTAATAGATAATAAAATACTCATTTTCTTACTATCAGTATCCAACTACATCATCACCTATCTTGAATATTTAACACAACCTGTGACTTCTACCGTTAGCATCAATAAGTGATAGTAAGGCAGCAATATCAATTGTACATTAGCTCACAAAATAGGTAGAAATATAGATCATATCAAATTTACCAAGTGAAGCATAGAAATCAGCAAAATCATCCAACTGATCTCGTATGTCTTTACCCAAAGTCATACCGAAAGTTATTTGACTCCTGCTTCCATTGGAAGCTACCTGTAATATCAATTATAATTCATTATTATGTAACCAATATTATATCATAAATGATAGTCAAATTTCCTCAAGTAGTAACTGATACTGCAGTAAAGTTTATCCCAATTTTTTGCACGTGGATGCTATCATCTGTATCGATGAGTCGATGTAACGTAAGCAACTAACTAATCTGTCCAATGATTAGCAATACTGTATGAAGACTTGTTATTAACTATATCTTGTGACTTGTTATTAACTATATCTTGTGACTGGATACTAACACAGCTAGCATCACATTCTATTCATGAATCATTTAACTTTACTCCACCTAGAAATCTACAGACCTATCGACTCAAAAACATTCCAATTCATTATTTACAGAACTATCGACGTCTTGTACGACCCACCCAATGATTCCTAGAATCTACCAGGATTCTAGGAATCCTTAACTGAGCAAGTTGTCGTCTGACTGAATAAAAGACGAGATCGACCCCTAGCAATACAACTAGTCAGTGAAGTATCGTTGCTTTGTCTGACTTTACCTATTGATTGCAGTTCTTCTAACGGGTTGCCCATTCAGCTGTCCCAGCTCGTTTATGTACTGTCTACTTTCATGGTGTTAAATACTGTCAGTACTGCAGTCATTTTCGCATTACTGTCCTGTATATCCCCATAAGCATAGAGATGAGTAGTTTTTTTCTGTGACCTCTACGTCCACCAGTGTCACCATGTTATGGGTGGATTGATTTTATCAAGGATGCAAGATTTTGTAGAGAAATGGCCAGGGTTCCACACTGATCCATTTCTCACGACTGATTGAGTATTTTTCAAGTCACTGCTGTTCTTTTAACTGTTGACTTAAGCTATCCACTACTCATTGCTTCAGTAATCCATGATTTCAAATTAGCAATCCTGATTGGTGAGGACAGTGTTGTACCCCTAGGGACTGCAGTAGCAAACAAGTCCAAGGTGTTGTATACCTTCTGACTTGGCGTCCAAGTAGGGTGCGTCTCACCTTGCTAATGACCTCCCCGATCAGTGACGCTTTTCGTGACACGAGCAGTGAGCGAGCGCTGACGCCTCCCCATCATTTCCCGGTACCGTACCGTACCGTGCCGTACCGTACTGTGCAGACTTTGAAGGTCTTGCTGGTCTGGCCTGCGCTGGACCCTGTTGCGCACTTGCACTCCACTCACTGTGTACTGTACTGTACTTGTAGTGTAGAGTGCAGTAAGGGGAAAAACTTCTTTTGCTACACGCTTCTATCGTACTCTATCTATAGTATGTACGGTACTTGACGATCCACTTTTCCACGAAGTTTTTTTTTCGGTTTCCTCTTGACGGTAGCGCTGAAGCATTGAATAGACAGGGACGAGGAGTAAAACCTCACGTCCAAAGTAAATAGTACGCCAAAAAATGATGAAATGACTGTGCTAATAACTGGCCCTTCAAATAGTGTACATAGGATCATAGACTACAATTGGTAACGGTGCTAAACTTGGTGTATTAGGCCGATTTCTACCAACTTCAAAGTACTCCTGATATTGAACGCGGCGGCGTTTATTGATTAGGAGACTCAAGACTGCAGTACAGTACTGTACTGTAAACTAACGGTCATACGGTATGAATGGTCAGTGGGTCGCGTCTTGTACACTCTACAGCACAGTACCACGCTACAAAGACAGTCTATGGAAAATGGGGGCAATGGCAAAAGTAGTCAAAGTAGCGCTGAGGTCGTCAAGTTCTCCTGAACTACTGTCACTTTCAAACGCGCCTTGCTCAGCCAATTTTGATGTCTCCAATAGCGTATATTAGACCGCGACAATCCAACGACCCAAATTCCCAATTCAGAACTCATACTAATGAATATAAACTCTTTGGAGATAATACGCCAATCAATTTTATTCTCCAACTTTGTGTCAGTTTACAAACTTGAAGGAGAAATCTTGCAGAAACATACCGTGCAGTGGTGTGAGTAGAGTAGAGTACTGTACTGTACATTAGTTGTGCCAATGTCCGTCTGAAAGTCAAATCAGCATCAAATAGGGCACTGTATACGTTTACTGCAGTCCTGTATCATGGTTGCGTAGACTTTGGTAGTGATGATACTGTACACTACAGTATGATCGATCAAGGAGAAACCTTAGCAGTGTAGGCTCTTCCAAAATCAGACACTATTTTGCACTTGATCCAAAAGCAGAAGTTTATATAGTAACTCTTTCCAGTGTACCTACGATGCTAGCTTACCTCAGCGACTTTAATGAAGCGCCCACCTCTATTCTGTTTGACATCCAGGTAGAAACGTTTAGCTTGGATATGCAACGTTTTGGATGCTAGATCGTCTTTACCTACAAGATGTATAGTAAGATAGCAAAGTACGTACGAACATTTTAGTTGCATAAACCGTAATCGGACATTTAAGCAACAACATATCATATCACCCATTGAACAACTATCACGCAATCATTCAATGTAATATTCAAATAAATGCAACGTACAATATTCAATGTTGTGTGGCAATTATCAATCACGAACTGCTTTACGCATACTATACCACATACAACAAAGTAGTAGAGTAGAGGAGAATACATGACAATACAGTATAGCTAAAAATGCCATCGTCATTTGAGGCGTCGAGCTGCAACTCCTGACTAAACATCCCAAAGTTCAGAAAGCAGCAATCACTTGCAAAATACATCTTTGTCCATGACTATTTCATTGTAAACATATTTCGCCTACCTTTCGCATTTCCTTCATACTCATTACCGCTGAATTCCGAAGTGGACTCAGCCTGTAAATCACTTCCAGCTCCTTGCCGCTCCGCCATCTCCCTTGACCGTAAAAAAGTACTATACCTTAGTATGCGCGTGCTCATCCAACAAACTGCCGTACTGTTGCAGGCCTGCAGCCGAAACTGTAGTACTTTACACTACTGTATACTATACGTACACCGCTGTATGTGACTCAAGCGGTCAGTCACTCTACTATACCACATGATACTACCGTACAGTGTACAGTGTACAGTACTGTAGTGTCAGCACGGTGGTGTAAAAACGTGCAGAGCGGCCATAAAAGTAAGAAGGCTTTAGCATCGTCCTGTGCAGTGTACACGGCACTCAGTGCAAGTGTTGTAGTCTAGCAGATTCGCAGGAAAGTCATTTTCATATGCGCTAAGCAGATTTCATACTGTCTGGTCTAGTAGAGTTCAGAAAAAAACATGGAGTGCTAACTTACTGTACCAAGTCCAGTACTGTACTGTACTGTACTGTACAGTACAGCAGATTCGCATACTGTACTGTACGGTACTGTACTGTACACTAGATGAAAAGGCGAGTACAGTACGTACAGTACAGTACAAGTATAGTGCTGTTCTATTGTACTGTACTGCTTACAATACACTCTGAAGAAAAAAAAAGAAAAAAATAGTCCCAAAATACAGTAGAATAAAACTCTGCGATGCTGTGTACCTCGCAAAAAAACAATCATAGTAATCTTATTAACTGACTGTACTGTTAATTAACTTTATAGGCAATTTGCCTGATTTGATCCAGTTGAAAGCACAAATACTGTACAGTACTATAAATCACATGGACGTACACTGAGTGTACAGCATAACACTGATGCACTGCAACTATTCTCCGCCCACGTTCCAGCTGTAGTGCAACTCAGGTTGAAAGCACGACACGTGTATCAAGAATGATCCGTAATATCATCATAATGGCCGTCCATGCAGTACTGTACAGCCAAATCAAAGTAACCATCAGCAAATGGTGGATACTGCACAACAGCCAAACTTACAATTACCATCTGCTGAACACATTCGCCATGCCTATCCAGTACTTGTAACGCGCGTTGCACTCTGTACAGTAACCACTACGCGAAAACCACAGACTAACATTGTGTCCATTTCAAACTTTGCAGTCAATAAATCAATTGATGGAATACAATTTTGTACAAAATGTAGAAACTTGTGGGGTACAGATATTCGACATAGCACTGTATCATGGCATAACTTCTCTTTGAACTGCAAATATTCAACGTGTGTAATGTAAAAATACGAACTACGGCAATGGGCTGACCTACGCCAGAGTTATATTGAACAAATAACTACAGAATTATACACGGAAATCAACAAGAATTTCATTATTGTCTGCTTTATTGTTGTCAGCCGTAATCTATCACCCCAGGGCGCATCATTTTGTATAAGCCGCATGTCGTCCATTACTCTCATTTGAAATAATCCATGACCAGGATACATTAGCCAAAAAATTGCCAATGCTTGTATCATATCAGAATTGAAATGTTCGATTTTGAACGCAACGCATATACTCGTATCTAATTCTAATTTACGATACACCCATACTAGTGAACACAGTATGCAAACGCAGCATGTGGATATCAAACCTTCTCTACTAAATATTTAGTCAGCAAGTTCTCATATTTAAATCATAATCTTTAAGCTTATTTCCTGAATTATTCATTGCAGTCGATAAGCCAACAGAATCATTTAGAAAATGCTCTTAATTAATTACTCAGCCCAGTATCATAATAAATGTAAAAGCGATTACCTCAGACTACTATCGACCACTAAAACATAATTAAAACGCAAAGATATTTTTATTCATGCATTCAGCTAGTCTCCAATTGAATCAACGAATAGTAGGCAATGATTAAACGCTGAGATCGTGAAAGATAGGGAAGAGCTTGCAACAAATTTCAAATACTATCCGGAAGGATTATTCGAAAAAAAGTCCAAATTTGCGATCCAATATTTCTTACGCTTTTTAGGAAGGATAGGTCCAAATTCGTCTCTCGATACTATGTACGCCTTTTCCTATCCAATCTCAGTCAACTTGTGTCATAATATATTAAAGTGATATATATAGATAGATAGATATATTAGCATATATATATAATTAAGGACAGAAAATGAATTTCAAGTTCGTGGCAAGTCGCAGTTTCAAGTACGGAATATTAGCCACACCGTATTAAAATAATTGAAAGTTGTCTGATATACGTATACGTATATTTACAAAAAACAATATCTATTCTGGGCATTATTGCCACATCTAGAACATGTCTGCATCTGAGATGAAGGAGTCTAGCGGAGATAAAGTACTTGTATAATCTACCTCCTGGAATAAATCTATGAAAGCAAGATTAATCAGTTATAAGAAATGAGCTCAAATTTCCATTCCCATAAAGTAATGCCTTATTTTATAAATATGGCATCGCTTTTATAGCAATAGTAAACCTATGGGTATACACTATACACAAAATTATAGAATTCACAGATGGAAAATTCTATATACGCGGCTATACCTTCACTCGACTGATTCTTTGTAAAGTTGTGCGTTTCAGATTTTTTGTATATTGCTCTGTTTAGAGAACTATCATATATATATAAAAATTTTTGATTAAAAGTAAAACAATCATTAATTATTACTGTTTCTAAGTTACAAAGAGTAAATGAATTAGCAACGATTTCGATTTAGTTAACGTGTTAAAAGAGAGTCAAAAAACTACTCAGCCTTTCTATAATTATTGCATCTGATTAGTATATGCTATGTATTAATGTATACCTTTTCCTTTCTTTTAATAGAGATTCCCTAACGTTGGCAAAGTATCCTAAAAGAAACCTGAAGGTGAATTTTTAAGTATTACAGACAACATTGTCGAAAATTGCCTTTTAACCTGTGCAATTCAATGTGAATTTTTTTCTAAATGTAGAGCAGACATGATTGCACGCATCCAATGCAGAGGTATCCTGTTAAATGTAATAGATAAAGTAAGCTACTAGAAGTTAAACAGGCCAAATATTCAATTCTTGAACCTCATCATCATACCTCGTCAAGCCAATCGTAACTATCGATGTTGACCTTTCTAAAATAATAATAATAAAAGTCATATATTAAAAGTATTAAGTGGTAGCTTTTAAGAATCTTAAGCGCTTTTGTATGTGAAAGTATGCAAGCATACAACTTCTCGTATACTATATTCATTGCAAATTAAACATAATCTGAATAAGTAAAAATGATTTCTTACGGTTTGCCGAAATTTTTCATTAGTGTTTCATCAGATTCTGATTTTACACTATCAACAATACTTGTTGAACTACCATCGGCCGAAAATTTGTCCCAATCATTGAAGTATTTACTACACTGAGGATTTGTCTGCAATTCCGAATTATTCTAAATATAAATAAAATTGTAATTAGTTGTATAGCCTAGATCAATCCATACACATAACTTTGCAAATTCATGCCTTACTATATAATTAATGCGACTTAGATAACTTTAGATTACTACTATATGATAAGCAGATCTTATTCCATTTACGATAACACTAAATGTGCTTATTTAAAACTCCTATTCGCTATCATTTCCTTCAAAATAAGACTACAGAAGAATCTATGATTTACAATGCATGATGGTTACTCATCAAAATCCAAAAGAGCATACGTATGCAACTGTGTCAGACTTATACTAATTCTTAGTATAAGTTGCAAAGGACTATAAAACAGTTACAATGGTGAATACCTTCACATGCGTGATAGAGGATGGTTTCGAAGTGACGACAACTTCATTTTCATTATCTACAAAGATAGTTGTAAATCTGGATTAGATCAGTTGGATATGTTCACCTTTATATTTTAGTAACAGATATCAGTTATAACAGTGTCGTATCGATTAAATATAGCTAGTCAGCTTTTGCAATATAGCATTTTATTAACCTCTTTTTATAACTTCTGACGCTTTCGCTCCCGTAGTGATTATTGGCAAAAGCTTCTGCTATTATATCAGTATTTAATATTGTCAGTATACATACAGTATGTACACAAAGAGGGTTTCTATGTACTACAATATAATTTTACATAGCAAAGATTGTAGAAACCCCAAAACGAATAACGAATTCATTTACTAACCGTCAATCTTCGCTCAGGGATTAGGGTAACATGGGTATAATTGACTGTATCTTTTATTGCACTTAGAAAAGAACTACCCTTACACTGTTTGAATAATATAGATACAGTATATCATTAGAATTCAATCTACTTTGCTTATGAATTGCTAATGTCAAGTAAGTAAATTCACATTATTCGACATAATCATTTTAAAGAAAAAGTAATCACCTTCTTATCTGTTCTATTTTTTCTCGATTCTTTCTTCTTTTTAACTTTTCCAGCTTTGGCGTGCTTCTTTATCCTTGAATCATTCTGATCGAATGGTTTAGGTGACAGCTGAACCGAATCAAGTTCACATTCCCTATCACTGAGTCTTTCTTTCTCAAATACTTCCTCGAACGGGTTTACTTTAGTATCGAAGAATTCAGATCTAGGACCTTCAAAATAATTATGAATTAATCGAATTGCCTTTTTTTATCAACTCCATTACTATTGAAACAGATTCATCATGCGACTGTAAACAGTAAAGGGCAGCCTCCACTTAGAGAACCGTCTACTCAACTTACCGTCATTTATAAAATATTTACTCCTTCGCATTTTCAATCAGCAATTTCCTCTCACGACACTTCTAGACCAACGTTAAATTGTGTGGGCATTAAAAACTATATCAATCGATTGCTAACCTTGAAGGATTTACTTTAATAATGACTAAAGAAATAAGCATATCCAAAATATTTACTATTGTTTACTTCAAGAATCATTAAACTGATTCTATGGTATCATAAAAGTTTCAACAGTATATATATATATGCTAACAACTCTATCACCATTATTATTTTTTAAAACATTCTACTTTATAAGGTATACACGTTATACAAGTTTACAAAGACGATTTCGTTATAAGGTACTTTACTACTGATATATGATTGCAACCTTCAATATACTACACGAACCGTGCTTATGAGGTAAATGGAATACTTCATTGTTTACTATTAGAAGCAATAAATTAACATGTCTGTCCTTTCTGCGACTGATCTACTCAACTGAATTTCATTACAGGTACTAGCTCATCTACATTAAAAGTTTGTTTTATACCATTAGACTGTATCCAATAATCAATAATAGCAATTATGATCCTTATTATATCAGCAAAACGACACCTATCTGATTATTTAAAAACCAAGTGCGATCAATACTAACTTAAAAGCATATTAACCAACATACGTGATAAATTATGCTCTATCTTCCACCTTTTAGTGCTACGTGATTATCACAAGCGTGCAATCCAAACGTATTTCACTGAAAGTGAAGCTGCCTATTTGTGTGTCCTAATCTAAAAATTGAAACGCTTACGTAAAATCAACCCTCTAATACCTTATATAGCTATCCTAGCTGAATTGCTTGCCACGGTAAAGTATTTTCCTGTCCATATATAAACTTAATATACAGTATTGCACAGTAATACAATGAACAGAGACGTTTCCATACATGGAATGATTCATATTAGTTGTGAGTAGGTAAAACATGGCACCAGTGCAACACTTCATTCA